AGTATTCTAGCAGACTGGGTGGAACAAGTGGCCCCAAGTCAGCAACAGTTGCACCACTTAGAGCCGGCTATGCGCATACATATGCGCGGTGGATGTGCAGGCATGTGCAGGCAGTTCGGGCATGCGTCGAACACTTCTGTTTTCCACTAATTACACCTGGGCAGATCGCGAACCGATCCTATTCCCCTATTCCCTACCAAAGGGCCTTACTCTCAATATAGCAACTAGCCCACTCCCACCCAAGGAGTTTCCCTCAGTCCTCGGTCATCTCAAGTGGCTTTGTTCCAAATTCACGGGTGTCATCCTGCTCAGTTTCCTTCAGATGGGCGAGCCGTTCAAAAACGCGCTAGCGATCCAATAACCAAATCTTTGAGAAAACTACTGCTGAACCGCCCAGAGGTATGCAGCTATGGTTGGAAAATTGTCAATCCTGTGTTCCAAGTTGTGGTAGCAACAGAGTGAATAAGAGCACTTCAACATACTTCAACATATTTTACTGTAACACACATGTTTTTAATGTATGTAGATGGATATCCAATAAATCTAATAGTCTAATATTTCAAATATTTCTGTAGGGTCACATGACCTGCCCAGGCGAGAGCCTTTGTGCTTCATCCGTTGGTCCGTTGGTCACATGTTATGTTTGATAACCTGCTGGGGCCGACAAGTACGCGAGCATATCTGGAGTCAATGGCCAGTCCCACAGTCCCTTTTAGGTCATGGGATCAAAATCCAGCAGGATGGCCCCCTTCAAGGTGGTTCTTGAGATAACAGTGTGGGCCCTTGTGGTTTGGGGTGGGCCTAAGTGTATGGTTTCTGGCGGGCGTGACTGTGAAATATGGTCTCAATGTACTGTACGTAGCTTTGTGTTCACCACCGTGTGTGTGTGTGTGTGTGCTTTGTGTTCACTGCTACTTGAGCGCAGTCAAGCAGGAGGTGTGCATGTGTTCAAGCTGTGGTTCCTATTTGACCACGAGCACCAGTCAATCCAGTCCCGGGATTGACATATCCCCATATGGCCATCTGTGCGGTCTTGAGATACCAGTGATTCTAGGATTTTAAGAGAAAGGGATATAGAAGCCTTTTAACACACATTTCCCCCGACTGTCATTTGCCAGGTGTGATCTCATGTCGATGTCTCATGTACCTTGCGTTCTCCTTTTCCCACCACAAAAAGACTCACTTTTCGAGATCCCTAGGGCACTGACTCCCGAACTTTCGCAGCTTCGCGCTTTGCTTCGCGCTTGCTTCGTGGTCGACCTCCCGCGCGGAGGCCTCGGTCGGCGAAAAAGCGAACCCGGTCTGCGGTCCCCGGGGTTCGGGTTGGGGCGGAGCCCTTTCTTGCGGTGACGAACCGCTTTTTTTGTGGGTATACCAATGGTATACACCTGAATTATATGTCTTCATGCACCAGGTCACCAGGGCCTCATAACAGTTGTCAAGTGCCCCTAAGTATCATAGCTCCTTCCAGAATCTGTCAGTTGCCAAAGTAGAGACAGGTGCTGTTCAGTTCATTTCAGGCTCTACAGGCTCTTCGCGAGGGCTCAAGAAAACCTGGAGGTCTATGACCCGAACAATACCGGCTTTGTGGATATGGACATCGTCAAGAGCTTCTTCAAGGTGGGCGGCGCCTACAGCGGGCAGCAGAGCCGGCGCGGCAGAGCGAGGGATGGAGTTGGTTCTTCGCTTTGGATCGAAAAAGAGGAGTGACTTGATGCTTCTTTGGATAATTTGTGTTTGCCATGTGAGCTAAGACATTCATTGCATTCCAGCAGGGTATTGAAATATAATTGCTTGACATGATATGACTTTTGTTCCCGAAGCACTTCAGCTGCTAGAAGTCTTATGTGGTGGAAGCACAGAAGCGCCAATTTTCCTGAAGATTGCCAGGGGTTCTATGAGATTTCCCGTGGTCATACCCCTTCCGGTTGGTAGTGAAGACACTCTGAGTAGGGAAACATGCTTGGTGCACCAGCGTGAAAGCTTATTCGGTTCGCATCAAGTGTGAAGGACTCTTGGGGAGATTTGGGCATGCAGCTGACAAAAGTTTTAAAGGATGAATCTGGCCGGTCAGATGAGGCAGTTGTTGCCTTACGCCCGGACTCTCCAGCACCGGCTGCAGCACTAGCTCACTCCGCATCCCAAATAGTCCTGGTGTTTTGATGTTTCATGATGTTTCATGTTTTTTCTCCCACCACATGACCAGGAGAGTCGGACTCTTCAGCGTTTGGTGGTTGTCGCACCTTTGGGTGCGACACGTTCGATCAACGTCCATGCCACTGGAGACTTGTCCAGGAGTTGGGCTACGGGGATATTTCGGATGAGGCAAGGAGCTCGATGTGAAGTTGGGATGCAGTAGTGCAGAATTGGGGGACCTGCTGAAAGCTTCAAGCATTGCTTTTTCATGCGCATGGACATGCAAACAGTTTCAGCGAGCGCCAGTCTACCTTTCAACAGGTGTGCAACATAGCGGTACAACTGAGTGTGCGATGCGCGATTTAGCAGAATAGGATTTTGAGCCAAGGAGGGTGCCCGGTTTGGTAAATAGTTTTGGACCACCATGCCTGCCTTTTGCTGTTTGTTGGTTGATTTATAGAGGGGACACCCCGAAGTGTTCAACCAACAGGTATGTTTTTTTTTTAATTGACGCCGATTTTGACTTGTAAAGGGCAACAAGTTTGGATCCACCCACCTCGCTACGGATATCAATGCATCATGGTCCGGCAAGGCGACTTGAATCTGTGGACATGAAGATCAAGAACACCACTACGACATGCATGTATGACTGTATGACAATGGTGCACATGGCCCAAGATACACGGGGTTGTGAGGGGCTCTTGTTGAGTGGGGTTTCCATCCACTTGAGCCAGAGTGGATTGGCCCAAACGGCAAGGAGTTTACAATGTCCAACGTGTCAGTGAAACTCGGGCCAGAACATGTGTGTCGTGTGATTTGGCCCTGTTTCGCTGGAGTATGGTTAGTTTTCCGCACCTGATTCTTCAGGTTCAACATATAAGATGTCAAGTAAGATGCTATTGAGATGATCTCCCAACTTGTCGCTGTTCTGAAAAGGATGGACGTTTTCCACTTCCAAAGCCCCTTCAGGACGCGAAGATCATCCTCGAGACGGCCGATGGCGACAAGGATCAACGGTGCCTCGGTCGAAGCCACGGACGCGCCAGGTCGCAGTGTTCCGCTCGAAGCAACTGTGTGTGCTTTCATGGGAGCTGAATGATGTAGGAACATGTATGCATTGCACTTTACAATTAATGTAAACCAGTGTCACTTTGATGCTGCAATGTCAGCCACCGGCGAGACGCTTTTGGCCTCAAAGAAAGAACAACAAAAATGAAAGCGTCACTTTGGACCTCTGAAATGCTTGGTGCATCTTGGTGCAACATCCACTTTCTCGTCCAACTCAGCTGGGTCGTTGCAACGGCGCCACACGAGGATTGGACTGGATGACTTTCGCATGATGGTGCCCTTCGGTCAGCCACACGACCCGCAGGGGCCGCCGAGGAACCGACCGCGGAGAGTGGAGGTGGAACGAAGGGAACGGACGTTCAGAGTGTAGTCATTAGCTTGAACGCAGTAGATTGCGAAAGAATTGAAGCTAGGCCCAGGCCCAGGCACTTTCGCGCGTCATATTGCTTGTAATTACGTATAATGTAGGGTGAAATAGTTTGTATGTTGTTTTTTGTTCTAGTGGTAGCTGAATTGAACATCAACAAGAGCTTCCTTCTTGAAGCCCATGCAACGCAACAAGCGACAACAACCAGCCTTTCGTGAGTTGCCATGGTAGGAAAATGTAGGAGCGTACTGAGTATGCTTTCTTGATGTTTATGCTTCCCCGCAGCTACGGTAGGGCTGCCTAGCAGCTTTGCTCATTACCATCCCCATGCCCCGAGGTCTGCCAGCTCCACTGATTGAGTGAGGTGTGGGTCTCAGCTGGCGGATCTCACCATCATCTCCACGAAAGCAGAGAACGCTGATGGACGATCATACGTTATTGTGATGATTAAAATGTTCAGTGTGTATACAGTGTATGCACATATATATATATATTTATGTGCATACACACAACATGGAGGCACCAAAGCTAGATAGTGATTTCTTGAATTCATATCATTATATTTTATATATGACTTCCCGTCACAACATCAGTTACAGTTACATGTATGTAACGTCGAAGGCCACTGACATAGGTTTAAGCTCACTTGGTCACTTGAATGGGCATAAGATGGCATAAGCAGTGAGCAGAGATCATTCAACCTCTTGCGAACGACAACGAGTTCAATGCGACTGACGGACTGACGGATGAACACATTTGATATTTAACACTGTTTGGGATGTTTCTGGTTTGGCTCTCCACTCTCCGCACCGTGGGTGTGGCTCGTGCACATTCCAAGCAACATTCCACTCCAAGGCAAAATCTTCCTGGAATGCCTCAAGAATCTCAAGAACCTGAAGTCAAACCCCACACGTTGGGTGTTCAAATCTTCATGAGCCGCATTTGGTAGTCCATGTCAATTATAGATGGCTCTAAGAGGTTTAGGACCAGTGTTCAACTACCACCCGGCTCGGTTTCACCGCCCGATCAGTTCGGATGACGGCTTCACCGTGGGCGTTGCTCGGTTTCACCTCGTCTGTCCACCGGAACGGCCGAAGGAGCGACCGGACGACTGCAGTGACGACCATCCAATTGGACCATCCAACGCCCGCCAAAATGGCGCCACCGGAGGGTTCAACCAAAGGAGCCTAAGCATTGTGCAAGCAGGTGGAAATGGCTTTGGTATTCGAGCTTGGTTAGCTATGCTTTGCTCGTTGCTTGAACCAGTTGATGATGTTGGAGCCACTGTAAGCTCCAAAAATCAAAGCCCAGGAAGTTGTACGATATTGGATTCTGTTTGGTTGTATTTCCATCCTCATCATGTAACACAACACTGTATGTATAGGTGTATGAGAAACAATTGGACATAATTGCCAATGAGGTACCAAACATGGTTGGAGAGGCACAGACTACCAAAGGGCGTGCGTTGCTGCGTTGCTGCGTAGCAGCTCAAAACCTGTCAAGAGGCCATTCCCCAGAGGACGCCACTTGGCCAAAGAATAGAATTCCACAAACTTCCGACGAAAGCGCCAATCTTCGTGCGACATAGTGCTACCAATGGCTTCCCAAATCTTCGTTACTGCAAACAAAGGTGGTTTCCTCCCTGGAGTCCTTGCATCAACAAAAAAACATTTGCATTATGTATCATTGAACACAAGTCAATCTGGCTAGATATTTGACGTGTTCAACTGAATACAGAAGAAACTGCTATGCAAAAGTATTCCCCTTAAGTATATATTATCTACCTGAAAGTGACTGCAGTAGGTGGGCAAATGAGATTCAAGCTATGAGCATCTGGGAGAAAGTGATCAGGGGATGATTCGCAGAAGTGCACACACACACAAGTGCACGCGCACACATGTGTGAGTGGTATACAGCTCGGGTACTTGGCATAGTTTTGATGAGTTACAAATGGATCAAGCATCATCATGTGTTTGTGTAAGGGAAAAACTTGGGGCCTGGGCGGTTTTGATGGTGTGGAATCGGCTAGATCGAGCCGACGCTCAACAACTCCGATCCTGAAATGATCACCGGCCAACACACGCCAACTGGGGGCTGTTCGGTTCCTTTAGTAGATAAAAGGGGAAGAAGTAACAACACCAAAGGGCAGAAAGGAAGGAAAATACAAAGAACTGAACAAACTAACAAAAGCACAAAACACGTTGATCTAATTACAGTGAAGAAAAAAACTCAGAAGGTCGGTGTGTGGCAGTTGGACAGCACCAATTGAAGAGCTTGTTGATCCTCAAGGTTTTTTCAGAGTCTCGGTGCCCCGATGGGAAGCATCGTGATTCGCAGCGACTGCTTGACCTCGACTGCCGAGCCGAGGTCATGGAAACTTTAAGCCTGGAGCTGCCATTGAAGGATCCCATCGGCGAAGGCACGGTTGTTCCCGGCAGGTTCTCAAGATATACCAGGTGTCCTTGATGTTTTGGATAATCTTTGGATAATCTGTGGAATTGCGTTTGTTTATCCAAAACTTGTATACCCAAAATAAAGCACTACATTCCCGAAAACGAACATGGACCCTCACAATGGACCCGAAGATTGTTGCCCTCTACCAACCAGTCGTTTTGTGGTTCCAAGTTCCATGTTAATGTTCAGGGGAGTAATATATGTTATTCTGGAATTGCACTGCAGATATCTTTGACTTGATGGATTCGACTCGACCATTCAGAGCACGAGAACCCACATAGCCGGCTGGAGCTGCACACCAGCGGAGCCGAGCCGTCAGGCACCAGCGGAGTGGTGTACCCATTGAAGACGGACGATGCATTCGGCCGATACGTGGTGAAGCGGATGAAGAAGACCCAGGATCAAGAGGCCCAAGATGAGATGATGAGATGGGGTGTCTACCCCCAAAGACCCAGGAACGGTATGGGATAGTGAGCATCAGTGTGTGAGAATACAGTACAGTACAGTGCTATTTACTCAGAATCATCGACAGGTGGAGGATCCATTTGGAACTGTTTTCAGGTCGTTTCCATGTGTTTTCACATGTTGAACCAGTTCTTTTCGCAAACGTCTTCGCTGAGTCAACACATGTCCGCAGAGCCGTCTTCGCATCGGCTCTGAGGTCTTCGCTGAAGAAGTTCGGTTGCTGAAGCTCGTCTCTGCCGAGGCTGGAGACCTTTCAGGTCAAGATGCTGGGAGGGTGAGGAAGATGAGTTGCGTTTGTTGTGCGTGTTTCAGGGGGGAAGGGTGCAGATGGAGCAGCCACTCAAACAGATCGCAAGCAGCCAGTGCGAGCATTCAGTTCAGAAGGGAAGGTCGGTCCTGCGAGCTTGCACGAGTCGCTTGACCGGAGAATGGGAAGCTCGTTTGTACCATGCTTCAGCCTGTGCATCGGGCTATATCGGCTGAAGTTGGGAATTCAGTTTGCACCAGCTTCACCTGTTTGCACTCACTTGCTGGTCTTTCTCATGAACGGGGCGAGTCCGTTTCTTGGCGCCCGAATCCAAACACAGACGTTCATGCCCAGGGTTTGGCATAAAGATACCTTTCACATACCTGTAACAAATCCCTTCCAGGATCAAACACCCTAGGGTGTCAAAACCAGGGCTGATTTGTACAGGTGTTTTTTTGTTTAATCAGACTCTGGGGGGGGTTGAATTTGCAAAGATCTTGCAATTTGGTGCGCTGAGAGTGGGTGCCATGAAATTGAATGGTGGGGTGCCAGAACTTGTAAAGCTAAAATGCATGTGCATTTGTTCTTTAGGGGTCTTGGATTTTGTATTGAACTACTCTGTTCTCGATATGGCTGAGTGATTGATTATGCAAGATTTAGGAACAGTTTTCTCTACCACAGGCTGGGGGCCTTGAATTTGTCAGATCAGGCCCCCAGGGGTAAGCCGGTTCATCTACCATCCTTTCACTCAGCTGCTTAAACTGACTGGGAGGTCCTACCCCTGGAAAACGGGCAACGCTGTTCAATTGAGTCAACTTTGAAAAGCCTTTATACATGTTGATACACTTCCATAGGTCCAGAGCATAGATCCAAGAGGCTTCTCCTGACACCTGGACAGTCTCAAGAGGAGGCGTGGTTGACCAATATTGACTATATAATCATCAATTTCTGAAACATTGGATGAGTTGGTGGGTCGCACCGTCGCACGGTGTTCGACCGGACGTCGGGACCTCGCCGAGTGTCACCACCTCCTGCGCTTCGGCTTCGCCTTTCGGACGCCGAGCGACGAGCTGGTGATGATTACAGAGGCAGGGAAGACAACGAGCGAAAGGAGGACGGCCATGGTCAAACCATGGAGTGGTAGAAAACCATGACCTGACATCCAAAGTTTCCCCCACCCAAAAAAAAGAGCAGGGAGATTTGAGATCCAGCTGATTGCATTGGGGATTCATGCGCAGGATCAGTTGGGACTTGCGATTTGAACGGGCGCGTTCTCAGATAGTGCGTGACAGTGCAACATGTTCATCAACAGTGCAAGGCTCGCATCTCGAGGTAGTTGCAATGGACTATGCCTATGCACTGTTGCAAGATTTGGTCTATCCGCGAAATCAGCTATTTCCTTCAAACTTGGGTTGTTGTTGCTGACTGGATGGCTTTGCCTTAGAATTAGAAACCGTGCTTTGTGATGGCTTGTGAAATTTATGCTTGACGCCTTGTTGCCATTATTCAGGCCTGTGACGCCACCCTTTGGGATGCCTTAACGGGTGCCACCACCTGGCGGACAACAGCCTTGGCTCCTTTAGGGTTCACTGAGAGGCGGGGGAAATGGAGGGCTCTGAAAGAGATCAGGCTTTTACCACACTTTAGGCAGAGCAGCAGGGTCCTGCCACATGATTGGGGCTTAAGTCAACGGTATAACACACACACACAGATATATATATATATATATATGAACAGTTTGCCATGCTGTAAATGGGGGCACCCTCTCAAACAGATGCTGACACATGGGTTGTGTTTTTGCTGCGTCATGCAGCTCGGTCCGATCTTTTCGTGCTCTGAAAGACCCGACGCGATACGATTCTTGGAGCTCCGACAGGCATACATGGAGTGCACAACTGTGTGCCGCAGTTTGTCATTGTCATAGCCTTGGAGTACTTCATCGGGACTGTTTTCCGGATCATTTGGTGCCTGCCAACTTAGATGCTGTGGCTAAGAAAGAAGAGGGTTTCGAACAGACCTGTGTTAGGGGGCAATGCTGGTGAATGAGTTGCATCATGTGGTTTATAATATTTGACTGACACCTTCCATTTTTTTGCATTTAAAGTTTCAACGGAACAATGGAACGAAGATCTCGATGTTGGTCAAACAATTTGAGTCAGATTGTCAGACCGTTGAGACACACCGCATGTTGTTGCTGGTCAGTGTGATGCAGGACATCAATCCATGGAATGCGCTGCTCATACAGGTGTCTTAGCTTTACTTCGTCCTTTGAAAGGTAGTTTGCGCATGTTTGCACGTCCGATGTTGGTTGTTTGTTGGAGAAGGGTGGTCAAGGAAGTGAGATGGAGCGATTGATGGGCAGCTTGGGCTATTGAGGCCAGATCGCATCCGGTGTATATATATGAGCTTTAAATCTGATTTTCCTTTTCGTGCTCAAGGCATGTTTGACAGGTTTGCTAGGTTCGCCGAGGCCTTCACCACCCTCTCCGATCTTAGCCTGCGCTTCTCCTGCCCTCTGCACTGCAGCTCGTCCTGTCTCCCTTGGTTCCTTGCTGGAACCTGCGTGGGCCTTCTCCTATCCTGCCTTGGATTTTGTTTTCTGGCAGTTTCAGTTGCTAGCCTCTTCCGTCCTGGCACCTTAATTCCTGCTGGAGGTGGGCCTGAGGTGGCAGAGGTGCTTGCTCGCCCTTTGCATTTGGTGAGGAGGGCGCGACTGGCTGAATACCGTGAATGAGCAGGCCTGTTTCTCGGGAGGACATCGAACAATTGGTGCAGGCTGTGAATAGGTTGGCTTTGGCCTTTGATAGAGCTGCTGCAGGGACCTCATCCCCTTCTACCAGTGTGACAGTTCCTATCATCACCCAAGCCGGGTGGGAGCTTGTGGAGCCGGCGGTTGAAGTGCCTTGGTCCGTGCCTCCTACTTTCACTGGAGTGGAGGAGGGTGTTCCCCCTATCCCGCAGTCAATCCTCTCAGCGGCCTCGGGAAAGATCTCAGCTGTTGCAGGGCAACCTCAAGATCGAGTTCATCGGGCCTGGAAGGCAGGCTTTGCAGCTTGGGTGGCTATATCAACTCATACTGAGTACAAGGTCGTGGACTCCATCCCATCCCTGTCTGATACTATTTGGGTTGTGCTTCGTGCCCCTTCGCTGAATAGCCCGGTTCGGGTCAGGCGAGTGTCAGAGCTTCGAAGCTTGCTTGCAGTGCTCCCTGCTCGTGACGGTGGACCAGTCTACCAAGGATTCCCTTCCCTTACAGAAGTGCAAGTGTTCTGTGCGGCAGCAGGCATTGAGACACCTCCTGTGTTCCAATGCAAGTCGCACAAGTGAGGACCGCGTTGGGAGAGGCTGACTTTTCGCTCCTGGTAGTCGGCCTGGATTTTCTACAGACAGGGGCACCTATTGAGGCTTATGGGATTCCTCTCATTGCAAGGGCTGACGGCTTCCTGCTATGCTTGCCCCATGGCCTTTTTGATGATGCTATGGTGGTCGAAGGAGAGTATCCAGAGGGCTTTCCATCCTGGCTGGGTATTGGTTCTATGTTTGAGGTCCCCTTCGTCGAGGAGACCGAGGAGGGCATCACCATTCCTCTTGGCTTGAGCGGCCCTGTGACAGTTATTGATGTTGGGAATGAGATTTTGGCTCGTTGCAGGGAATTTGATCCGGTGACAGATTCTGATGCTGCCATCCATCCTTTTCATGAAACGGCGGTTCAGGCCATTCCCTTGATGTCGACTCTTCTTCCTGCAGTGCAGACTTGGATTGCTGATCGCTATGATGGGGGTGCCCCTTTTCAATCGGCTCAAGAAGACCCGGAGACAAAGGCACCTCCAGCAGCCAAGACAGGTCAAAAGAAAACCCCTGCCGGGAAAAGAGTGACGAATGCAACCATCTTGGAGCAGCTCAACCTCATTACGAACCAGGTGCAAGTCCTTGCAGTGCGACAAGATGCTCTCGAGAAGGCTGGAGCGTTGTCCCCCTCTGCAAAAGGTGCCGTCGGACAGCAAACTGGCAGAGCGGTCAAGTTTCCGGCTCTGTCAGAAGGGCTACCTTCCGCGGGTGGACCACCTTTATCCGTGCCGAAGACTCTTCAAGTCGTGGGCCCTCCTCCGAAGACTCAGATGCACAGAGTGGCTTCTTCTCCTCTCCCTGCTTTGCCGGAAGAGCCCAATGCCCTGATGCTTGGTACAGCAGAACAAGCTCAAGACTCAGGCCAAATTGTGACAGCCCTCAGCCAACAGTCTACGGCCATTACGGCCCTGGTTGCACACCTGACTCAACAGGATCCTCTCGCAGAGTTGTCATCAAGCTCTACGACTACCTCTTCAATGAAAGGAGTCATGAGGCGAGAGAAGTTGCAAGCAGAGCTAGCAGGCAGGACTGGAAACTTCTTCCTCCTTCTGATGCAGCAGGTCCACAAAAAGCTCAGGCCTGGGAGGCCTCTACCAAAGTCGGAGGAGGAGCTCGAGAGTGTTTCCTTATTAGAGTATTTGGAAAAGTCAGGGGGCTATCGCAACCAGAGGAGCCTGGGACTTGTTCAGTGGATAGTGGCTCATGCCGTAGATGCGGCCGCTCGCAACGACATTGCGGGGTGCAAGGATCATTTGGCCCTACTGGCGATGGCAGTCGAGCAGGCAAACTACGACAGTGGCGACTGGTCAGTCGCCTACCTCATAAGTCTCCTCGAAGAGCCACCCGTGACGATGTTCCAGGAAAGAACCATGGCTATCACTTCTACGAGCCGGCCTTTCTCGCCTCTCATCCCTCCAGCTTGGACAGCAACAACGCTTGGGTACCTGAAAGACTTAGAGGCGCTCACCAACAAGAAGCCGGATCCAAAGAAGTCTGCTTCTCCGAAGAGTCAAGCCGAGGGGGAAGGGGGAAGCCCTCCGTCGCCGAAGAGAAAGCCGCGATTTCCACGGAGGCCGAAAGCCCCTCAGGATGGGGGGCAGCAGCAGTGATCCATGGTGAACAATGCATGTTGAAAGGGGCTGCCAAGAAGGCCTTTGAAGGCCCCGATCCTGTCAGAATTCGCAAGGGTCCACCACGTTCAGATGACCCTACTATGAGTGGCCGAGATGACAAGTCTGGGGACAATGTTCTCTTTACTTCTTCGAAGGTCCCACGATCGTTTACCTTTTGGGATTGGTGCGCTGCCCTGACTCCAAGTGTTTTGAGGACAAGAACGCCTTTCTCTGCATTTTTGGCTTTTTCTCTCAAGTTGCCTCGGAGGTCTTCGCCTTCGACACCGCAGCTCTTCCCTGTCCCGGTGCCCTTTCCTGGCATCTTTGACAGGATGCCGTCGGGGCTCTCGCTCAGAACAAGGAGGGGGATCTTGTTGAAGAGGGTATTGCATGTGGTTGTGATGGCCCTCAACTTTCTTCATGATGGGATGAAGTCCTTCCCCAGCGAGAGTCTGCTGACGAGATGTCCTTCTGTTGCTCATAGAAGTATTTACAGAAAGATTCAGGGCATTTTGGCTGCGGACGGCCCTGGCTGTGGCCGAATTGATGTCTTAGCCAGTGGTCGAAGATTTCCTCAATTACTTGCACGTCTTGGAGAACTTTCGAGTGTGGTGACAAAGATTGGTGCATGTGGGCCGTATGCTCGCGATTTCCAGGGGCACGAGGTTCCTTTGGACTCCGAAACTCTGCCGGAACTGAGGCCATACAGGTCTTTGGATGCATCGAGGCTGAAGCTCGCTGGACGTGGGCTTTTTGATGCAACAGAGTTTTTGGAGGATGATTTGCGCCTTGCCTACAGATGCCCAAATCTCATCTTGACTGAGCGTGTTCCGCCTCCTGGTTCTTGGCCAGGCATTTGTGACAGCCAGCAAGAAGTTGAACAACTTGCTCGGGTTTGGGATGCTCAAGGACTACTCGTCATTCATCGTGAACCTCAGAAACCCTTCTGGTTGACCAGAGTCTTCAACAACTACAAAAATGTGGATTCAGACAGACAGATAGGTGATAGACGAGGGAGGAACTTCTCCGAGAACAAGCTGATGGGGCCTTCCTCTTCATTGCCAAGCGGATCTGACCTGTCTGATCTGTGTCTGGACCCAAGAAAGCAGTGTGTTCGAATTTTCTGCACTGACCGGAAGGACTTCTACCACCAGTTTAAAGTCAGCCATGACAAAGCCGTCGCAAACTCTGTTGGTCCTCCTTTACCTCTGGCTTCTCTGAAATCCTGCAGTGCCTACCAAGAGTTTTTGCTTCGGGAGGCTTCTCGAAAGGCTTCCAAACAGCAGCGAGCCGTTTTTGGAGACATGCTTCATGATGATGGGGGTGCTGTGAAACAGAATGGGGACATGCCGAGCCTCCTTGTTGGAGAGTGCTATGTCTCTTTCGCTGCACTGTTTCAGGGAGATCATGGAGGAGTTGAGTTTGCCACTCAGGCCCATGCAAACCTTTTGAAGACCGCTGGGTTGTTAGATGAGGAGACGAGACTACAGGCTCACCGACCGTTTGCAGGAGGCAGGCTCCTTGAGGGGTTGGTCATTGATGATTATTTTGCCCTCTCAGTTGAGGACCGGGGAACCCCGATCTGTGATAGCAGCGCTGCCCGCTGTTTTGCGAAGAGCCAGTCTGTCTACGAGAAGTACAAGATCCTGGGGTCGCCTCAAAAGGATGTTTGGGGGGATGAAAGAAGCAAAGTGATTGGCGCTGAAATCAACTCGGGGCCTTGTGCAGCTGCCCAAGGTGTTGCTACATGTGGGTCTCCTATCTCAAAGCGGTTGAGCCTTAGCACTACATCCCTCCAGCTCGCCCAGCTTTCACACACCTCTGATGCGCTCCACCTCTGCATTGTTGGTGCTTGGACCTCGGTCATGCTATACCGCAGACCTCTCGTGGGAATTTTTGCTGAGGTTCACAATGTGGCCGAGGCGGCGCAGGTTGATAGCTCAAATCCGAAGCTGGTCCCTCTTACGAGGAGAGTTGCAAATGAGTTGACTATAGCGGCAGTGCTTTCCCCGCTAGCGGTTTCTGATTTGGCAGCCCAGTTTGAAGACAAGATATTCTCCACTGATGCATCTGATACTCATGGTGCTATCACCTCTGCTCCGCTGAACCGGGAAGCTGTTGGTCACTTTTGGAGGGCTTGCAAGTCGAAGGGTGCTTACAGTCGCCTCAAGACACCTCTCGAGATGGTCCTTTTGCGCCTAGGCGTGTCTGAGGAGGGCATTGAGAAGGATGAGGACGTCATGATAGAGCCTGAGTGTCCTGTATCTCCTAACAGGCCCATCGCCTTCGAGTACGATTTCATCGAGGTCTATGCTGGCTCCGCTAGGGTGTCGAAAGCTGCATTGCTTCTGGGCCTGGTGGTTGGTCCTCCAATTGACATATCCTATAGTGGAGAACTGGACCTGTGCCTCACTCGTGTGCTGGAATGGATCACCCATATGCTGGTAAGCTACAAGCTAAAGAGTGTGATGGTGGAGCCGGTTTGCACTTCCTTTTCTTTGATGAGAAGGCCCCCTGTGAGATCAAAGATGGTGCCTTATGGTTTTGACTTATCATGCCAACAGACAAAGACGGGGAATGTGCTTGCCCTTCGCGCTTTGGCCATCCTCGCATTGTGTCACCGCCTCATGTTGCCAGGTCTACTTGAACAACCGTGGATGGGCATGATGAGATATCTTCCTCCTTGGATCGCTCTGGAGGGGAAACAGAATGTCATGGTCAAGAGATGTGACTCCTGCGCGTATGGGTCACCACACCTCAAAAGTTTTCGGATGATGGCTGTTCACATGGACATATCTCGCTTGACCAGAAGGTGCTCCCGTGATCATACTCACCTGATTGTGGAGGGCAAATACACGAAGGCTTCAGCTTCCTATACCGAGGAGCTGGCCATGGAGATAGCCTTGAGCTTCAGAGAGGCCATTGTTGTCAGAGAGGCCTTCCTTTCCGAGCATTTGGATTCTCTGCATGTCAAGGGCCTTGAGAACCAGCTCACAAATATGTGTGCTATTGCATTGCCATGGAAGGAGGAGGACAGCTGGGCCTTTGCAACAACACGGCATATTAATTTGTTGGAGATGTCCTCACTCTTGAAGCTGGCAGAGCGAAAAGCGAGGGCCCCTACTTCTTCGAGGATTGTCAACTTGGTTGATTCGAATGTGATCAGGTGTGCAGCTTCAAAGGGGCGGTCATCCTCGCTTGCTCTGTCATCTCTACTCCACCGCTACAACGCAATATGCCTGGCCGGTGGGCTATATTTCACTCTCCCTTACGTCCCTACAAGATTCAACACATCAGATGACCCTACCAGAGGTCGGGAGGTGAGAAGCTCAACATCCGTCCTTCCTATCAGCTCTGCATCTGAAGATCAGGTTAGGTCTTTGCTCTCGATGCCTTTGCTTCGTCGTTGGGCCTCAAATTGGGTCCGCTTTGTCTTTGGAATTTATGGATTTGGTCTCCTGGACTTCCGTCGCCATGACACCCGTCGCCATGCTATTTCCTGGACTTCTCAGTCTGCCCTAGCACCCTATGGCCTTGGTCATCCGCTGAATGGGCCACGCCGTCTGGTCGACTTTGATTCATCACTTGGTTTCCCTGGAGAAGGTCCATCGCTTTGCTCTCTCTTCTCTCTCGATGTCTTGGGCTTCTTCCTACTTCTCCTGCTCTCTCCTTATCCCTTCGGCGGATTAGGATTAGTTAGAGCAATGGATAGCCATGGAGCTTTTGGACCACGGACCCCGGGCGACGCGCGTCGTGCCCAAGTCCGTATGAATAGGGCGCCTCTGCCTAAAGGTAGACCAGTCACCGACCTGACGGCCAAAAACCGCGAGAAGCTGCTTGGAGCTTTCCTGGATTGGTGCGATTTTGCTGGCTTTCATATGCAGCCCATCTTCGACAACCCTGCACAGAGTGTTGAAAGGATCAATGAGATCCTGCTAGCCTATGGGAGGAGGCTCTATGAGGCCGGCAAGACATATACGCATTATGTTGAAACAATCAATAGTGTTGCTAGTTTCAAACCAATTTGGAGGAGGCAACTTCAAGCTGCTTGGGACATGGCCTTTAGTTGGGTCAGAGAAGAAAAGCCGGTTCATCATTTGGCTATGCCTTTCCAAGTGTTGTTAGCCATGCTGACGGTCGCACTGTCATGGGGATGGCTGAATGTTGCTGGGCTGCTGGCTTTAGGGTGGGGATCGCTTCTTAGAACCAGTGAGATGACACATGCTTTGCGAAGTGACCTTCTATTACCAAGTGATACATTTTACACAAACAAGTTTGCCCTTTTGGCCTTGCGTGAACCGAAGACGAGATTTGTATCTGCCCGTCATCAATCGGCCAAGCTGGACATCCCGGACCTTTTATCTCTTGTTGAGACTGCTTTCCAACACTTGCAGAGCCATCAGAGATTGTGGCCCTTTTCTGATCAAACTCTGAGACATAGATTTGTTGATATCCTGAAGGTGCTCCACCTGGACTCGGCTTCGCTAAAACTTCCCAAGACTTTGGATCTGGGGTCGTTGAGGCCCGGTGGGGCTACATGGATGATGCAAACTTGCGAAGACAGCGAATTAGTTCGCCGTCGTGGAAGATGGTTGAATCAGAGGGTGATGGAAATATATATACAAGAGATTTCAAGCATGCAGCTTTTACTTCACCTGTCTAAGAGCCAACGTGAAACTATTTTTGGTATAGCTGCTACTTTCCCCAAGGTCCTGGAGAAGATCACTTGTTTTCAGAAAGCGTCGATACCGACGAAAGCTTGGTTTGCCCTGCTCAGGAGCTCGGAGCCTTGAGGCTGGAACTTTGGGTTGTGAGTGTTTTGGGATGTGTGGGCATGAACGCCATGAAATGGCTTGCTCACCGTGAAACCACACTAGCACAGAGAGAAAAGGGAGCGAAGGAAGATTTGAGCTTTAAATCTGATTTTCCTTTTCGTGCTCAAGGCACCCTCCCTTTCTTCGACACCCGCCCACAGCTCCAGCAGGGCATGAACGCCATGAAATGGCTTGCTCACCGTGAAACCACACTAGCACAGAGAGAAAAGGGAGCGAAGGAAGATTTATATATATAATATATATTTTTTGGTTGAGTCGATCAGGGCAAAATATGGGCGTGTCGAGTGTAGCTTGCTGGACAGCCAAATCACCACGTAAAGTATTTTTTTGATTGTGCTAGATCATGATCGCCGTTTGTCTATGGAAGGTGCAAGCTATCCCGTTAGTTATGGCAATTCTGGGGAAGATACTTTGTGGATCTTTGTGGGGTTGGAGGATGCTTTGCTACGCTGTTGGACTTCCTTCTAGCTGCTACTAGCTATACGGATAGTAAGTAACAATTGCATACAATTGCACTGACATATCATTGCATGCCCACTTGGAAACCAGCTTGCAAGTCTCCACAATTCTCCATTGACCAGAATAAGATACTGGTAGAACCTGGGACATTCCAAGAAACATCAATATGCTCATTTCAAAGACGTCACATATGGCCCTGCCGGAACTCCTTTCGAGGGATAGAGTGTCGTCCATCCTGCCACCGTGGCGGTCCCCGAGGAGAGCGGCACCTGGAATTTGCGCCTGGGCGACTTTGGCCTCGCGGTGCCGTGTAGCGGCGACTTGCAGGGCATCGAGGTGGGGTTCGGGCACCGCGGTGGGACGGTTGAGGAGTGCCCTGAAGGGCCAAGGGTGGTGGAGTTGTTGGTGCATGAGATCCCATAGACTGTCCTCGAAGAATCTGGGAGGGTTGAGCAGTGACTCGTGGAGAAGACCAGTAGCAGTCGCGAATTGAGCGAAGTATTTCAGATGGACCCCTAAAAGGGGTGAAGGGCTTCAATCATTCAGAAGCTGATCTATAGAGAGTCCCAGCACAGATGAAACCCACCACAGATAATTTGCAGAACTCTAAGCAAAAGGTGCTTGTTTGGGTACAAGCCCCTGTGGATGGGCAGCAGGTGGATGTATGCTATTCGAGTATCACAATCATAGTTTGGTCAATGGATGGAGAAGTTCCACTGCCACTGTGGTGAACAGGCTTGGCACGGACCATTAGAAGCACCATCACTGATGCGGTCAACAATTTTGAAAGCTCATCTAAGAAGGATGAAAATCCAAATGTCTTCCAATACAACATATGCATGGCTAAACCCGTGGAGAGGGCAATTCTTCAAAATGGAGGGAGTGGGAACATAATACGTAGCCGTAGCCTAGTAACAGTATAAGTACACATATAACTTATAACATAATATACAATTTTATGCATATACAAAATGCACACGCATATGATCTAACCCTGATCTGTTCTTCAGCACCTCTTCGCTTTTTCGAGGACACACGACGTCGACGTCGTGTCACGCGTCGCTTCCAGGCGCCGGGCGTCGCGCCGCTGGACGCCTCCGCACTCACGTCGCTCTACTCGGCCCCGGAGCTTGGGAAGCGCTATGGCGCCCTGGTCCGGAAGACCTGCACCTCACGACGTGGGTTTGGTAGCCATATATATATATATACATAGTGCATGCACAGTATATTTTTGTAGATACTGTAAATATATATATATATGTTCATCATTATGTGTCATTATATGTCTATAGTCGTTCTTTACATCGCGGGTCAGAAGACCCCCTTTCTGCCGATCTTTAGGGTATGATGGGACTCAGGATGTGGGAAATCAATGCCCCCTCCTCCCAAAGACGGTCCTTGTCAACGTGGAGAGTTGCACTTTCTTAACCGGAGTCAGAGTTAGTTAGTTCTTACCCGGTGACCCGTCCTCGGAGTGTTCGGGATCCAAGTACCTCCTTTTGAAAGTGTTTGGACTCGAAGATGGCGCCTACATCAAAGTGTCTCCAATCAGCCTCAAGAACGGGGGGGGTGGTAGTTTGTACCTCTCGTGTTTTTCTTGACACAATTGATGTTCCCATCTAGACTGTCCAGGATTGTACAGGTCTCCAGGAGAAAAGCAGACCGTAGGTCTATCGATGTATGTATGGATGCGAAAGCTGCCTATGGGTTGAACATGTCATTGGCAATTGCAATAGCACACACTGCCATCAGGTGCCGGCAAGTCCGGTTGACATGTACAAGTTACAAGTACAGCTAGTCTACGGTGAAGAAGACAGATCGCCCGAGTCCAAGTATTTGTTCAGTTTCCTATGGGGGTTGGAGAAACAAGGGTCCTTTGTCAACACTGTCCTTCGACCATTGAAGACCCCCTCGGCCATCAAAGACCCACTCTTGTTCAAAACAACGGCACCTTACTCAAGCATGCGGCAACACTTACTTGCGAATCGGATAGGAGTAGGTTGACTCCTATATATACATCTAGTGCATTTTTTATTGATGTCTCAGGCATGTCCCAGGGATGATTGAGTCAGTCGCCCGGGCTCCTGTCCCACCCGCCCCGACAGATGACTCGCTTCAGCGGCAAAGACTCAGGATATCCAGCTGACGTTTTCAGCTTAGGGATGACTTTGTTGGCGCTCTGGACAGAGCGGGGGGAGGCTGGCTGAGAGCAGCGGAATCGATCGAGAGGCTGAGAACACTGATTGCCATTAGATGTCATTAGCATTCACTAGCTTTGCTCAGGTACCTTGGCATGTGTGTGTTGCTGGAATTGAAGCCATTTGAGCAAGTTTCAATCCAGCCTACTTCCGTCCACCGTTGTGCTCCGTCCTGCATTCCAACATGGCAGCCCGAAGCAGCGCAATGAGGTGAGGGAAGGGATTTCATCCAGCAAGTGTAGCACAAATGCAACAATGAATCATCGGACCATGAATCTGGGACATTCTTTAGATCATGAATCCCGAATCCCACCATTCGGAGATCGAACCCCTCCGGGCGCTGGCGCAAGGCTAAGCCCCTTATTATGCCCCGAATCGGGTCCATTGCTAGGTCTTTGGCCAGGGCCTGCGGCGTGGTGCGAAGGATTCACTCCACTCGTGTGTGGCTTGGTCGACCATCAGGCACTTTACAGTTGAAGGAGTCGTATGACAGTGACACTCAGTTACTATCAACCGGACTCGGTGTGTTTCACACGCACGAAACGTCAGGATGATTGGCATGTGAAGATTGGCAACTCACTTGACCCGCAAGCCATAGACCTGTATAGATCGGTCATGCGGTGACTTGTTTGGAGTGTAGTTTATGGTCCGAAGCAATGTTCATGCATTGGTCCATTGGTGCACAAAAAATATGTGCAAGCACTGCCCTTTGGGAACCAGTTGGATCCTTTTGGGTGTTTGTGAAACGAGGTTGGCCTTCCCAACACCTGTGATCAACATACGTAAACTGAAAGAGCACTGCAGGGCCTCTTGCAATAAGGCCATCTCTCAAGGGAGCTCGAATTCTTACACATACAAATAGAGAGAGACAGAGAGACAGAGAGAGTCAGGGGCCAGGGGCTTACATGTAAATTGTTTTGCTTTGAGGTAGATGATAGACCTTCAAAAAGCTTCAAGCTGGTACTTGTACAGAGGAATTCTGATCAAAATTTGGCTAGTTGCTTGCCCCGGCAACCTGGCAACCTGCTTGGAGCTGTTTCTTGCATTTTCTTGCTGGCTATGCCTATGTTTGGATGCCAATCTGTCATGTTCCTTTGAGTCCGGGCGCGTTGATGTTCTGAGCTGCTTTGGGCCACCCCAACACCAAGATGATGGACCGAAAGCCCAGGAGGCGGCCAAATGGTCGAAGACACAGAGGCCTCTTTCGTGGTGATGACATGTGATGGAGCCAATGTGGCGCGGTTCCTGAAAAGTGATGCACGGTGATGGACCCAACCCTGACAGCGAGCCCTTGAGCCAACATCATTGAGCGATGCACCGCTTTGGGGATTTTGGGGTGCAGACGCGCAAGGGGCTGTGGCATCGGAGCAAGGCCAATGGGCTTTCCAGCGCTTTGGGCATGTGGTGGTCGTTGTGGGGGACAAGGTGGCTTGCGTCACTGGTTGCGGGTGCCAAATGCGCCCCCCAAAACCGCCCTCATCTCAGGTCCGTCCCTGGTCGCTTTGTAGAAGAAACCTGAGTCAGGGGAGAGCCCTGGAGTTCGTGACCGTGGCAGGTGGCTCATTGGCTCGACGGTGGCCCGGTCGAGGAGTCCTGTTTCCAGACATGAAGGTGTATGCGACATCCACAGACCAGTAGACCCATAATCACCCTGGGCCGGCCGCGAACTCTTTCCACTCTCTAGCTGCTCCTGTGGGCCACACCTACACAAGCCCGGCGATGCGCTCTCGGACGATCAACTCAGGCTGGCAGACCGAGCGAAGATCCGTGCCCCCATCGCGGACGCGCTGAAGGTTCGGCAGCCTCAGGCCATGTCGGTGCCCAAGGATATGGCGCAGCTCGGCAGGGAACGGTGCGCATGGTGAGTTGCACGAAACCCTTCGACAAATTCACCCAGATTCTATCTCGGTCATCAGTCCAGGGCTTTTCTTTGATGAAGTCATCAAACAACATCCCTTGGTTTGAAACATTCTTGAATCAGATGCTTTCGGAGTCGTTCTTCTATGGCTCCCAGGAACTTCGACGATGCCGACATGGCCATTCTACACAACCTGGGCATCGAGACCGATGCTGTGATCCACAATGCACGCCCTGGGACCTTGTACGATGAGGTGCGACCAACGGACCAACGACGAGGTTCGGTAGACCCCCGTTTTACTAGATCCAAAGAGACACGCCACCCACTAAGTGCTTTGGAAGAAACATGAAAAGAAAAACAACACGCCAACTCCAACCTCCAGTTCTCCCCTCCCATGTTGTGTGTGTGTGTTGTGTTTCCTGTCTGAACGTTCGTCCTTTCGGTTGCACAGAGTGTGTGTGTGTGTGCTTTTGTTTCGGGAACATGCACCAAAAAAAACTAAAACATGACATTTTTTCCTGAAAGACCTCACACGTGGGCTGATCTAAAACGCAAACTCTTCAGATTCTGGTGTGCAAATAAAGGTATAGGATGGTATAGGTCTGAAAAGCGCCATGCAGTGGTCTCCACCGGTTTATATGGTATTTGCCGGTAGGACCGTTAGCATGTTATGTCCATGTCCATGCCGGCAAGCCCATATGTCTCACCCTGGATTTGAATCGGGATCTTGAATCGGGATCATGGGCTCTTTTTTAACACTTTGGAGTCTATATAGGTTTCGCATGGTTTCGCTTGCTGTGGAACCTTGGACACTGGCCTGCGTTGGAACCAGAAAACAGAACTTTTGCTGCTTTTCGGGGTGTCCTTCTTGGACTTTACCCCCGCCTTTATGGGGAATGCACACTTCCAGCATCGAACATACAGATGGATCACGGATCGCAAAATCAATCTAGTTGAACGATGTCCAAACCAATTTGTTCAGACTTTGGGGTATCAGGATAACTGAAATCCTTTTCATCCCGTCAAAGACCCAACATGAGAAGCATGAGTTTGCTGAAAAACGGCCATGTCAATGTCAGCTTAGCCGCCAGCGGCCGCCTAGCCGTGCCCCCCTGGCACGGGTGTGTGTAGCGGAGCCACCCTGGCCCAGGCCTTGCGTTACGAGAAGGGCTCGGCGATTTTGTCCACTGGAGCTCTGGCGGCCTACAGCGGCGCCAAGACAGGGCGCTCGCCCATGGACAAGCGCGTGGTAGAGGAACCGAAGGGCGATCGTCATCGATTGTCCGCTTGTATACAAGACATGTGGAGGCGCTAGCAAGAGTGGATTGTGTCTAGGTTCCGCTTTTGCTTCGCAACTCCGATTCCTATTCCCGTTCTTTGTGAGACTTCTTCCTAGCCACGTTGCACAAACTTTAGGTACAGGAAAGGAACAAATATAGGCCGTAGGGACTGGTTCAGAGTTATAGGGTTGCAGCATTGTCCACCACATGCCCTTTAATTTTGCACCACCCAAGTAACAAACGTTCAGGACATGCCACCAGACATCTAAGGCCAATGACCAATGCATATAGGGGTCGGAGGGTCGCCCCCAGGGCCGATTGGCTGCTCCCAAGCGCACTGGGCAACGCGAAAGGAGCCTTCCACGATTGATGACGTGTGGTGGGGCACGGTGAACATGGGACTTTCAGAGAAGAGCTTCAGCATTAATCGGGAGCGAGCAATCGACTACCTGAACACTCGCCCCAGGCTGTAGCTTGGCAAACTGGAGGTAGACTGCGTGACATGTTGTGCAGATATGGTTGATTTGGCCATGTTCAGCATCACACTAGCCTGGAAGAATGTGTCGTGTGCATACTTCTTCATGCTGTTTCTACTGTATTGGTTTCATACAGGTGTTCTCCTTGTGTTGCTTTTTTGGACGCCTTCGACATCCTTCGACCATGTCTCAAATTTCCAAAAACACAGTTTTTCTGTGTTCTTTTTTCCCTTTGCTTCTCAACATCAAAGAATGAGGTATGTGTTGGATGGTTTCGCTGGATGGGATCCTGAATACCGCTACAAGAGCCTCGGTCTCGATCGTCAGCGGACGGAGAAACCAGCTGGAAACAGGTCTTAAACACATGTCCAGCTTGGCACATTTGGCTTTGGATGTCCAGAAGAGGATCAGGTGATCCTGCAAGATAGAAAGGATATGACAGGATGAACTCTATATTGTATAAACGGCACATTTGACTTCCAGCCAATGTCACTCTTCAATGTTTCCCACCAGCGCAGGCTGAATGAATTTATATAATCAATCGATGAATCGATGACCATCCAGCTGAGAAAAGGACAAAACCAGAAACAGATAAACATGCCGCAGCAGATGAGGATCCGAGTGATTACGAGCCGGGCCTACCATGCCCTTTTCATGCACAACATGCTGATCCGCCCCACTGCGGAAGAGCTGGCAAACTTTGGAGAGCCCGACTACACCATCTACAACGCAGGTGGGCTCATGAGAGCGATGGGGTCGCAGACTCAATGTGAAAAAAAACATCGGCAAGAGTCAGGAATTGAAGTTATATGTACAATATTGTTATTGGATGTATCATAGTGTCCTGAGTTGATCACAGATTACTGGTTGAGACACTGCCATTTGGCACGAATTTTAAGGTCCAGAGTTGCTTTATTTACTGTTCAGAGCAAGTCGTTTTGTTTTCATTCAAATCTAGTTTGTATTAGACAGCAACATGCACTGAGCAGGTCCCAAGAAGTTGCCAAACATCAAGTCTGCAACATCAAACGGGAGCCCAGCTCTTCTCAAACTACCGCGCAGGTGCTTTCCCTGCCAACCGCGCCACCGACGGCATGACAAGCGGCACGTCTGTGTCTTTGAACTTCGCGACCAAAGAGGCCAGGTCTGACTAAGCAGACTGTATAGCGACTTCTATCAGCGCTGGGCAATCCTTGTCAAAGCGCCGTTTGTTGAGGGCAGATGGGAAGTCAGCATTGCGCGATTCTGGATGATTTGATCAGGTGCATGTCATGGTTGCATGTATCCCATGCGCATGCGCATGGCAAGAAGTTTTCACAATGCAACATAATGATTCAGACAGAGAGAGGGAGAGAGAGAGAGAGAGAGCTTTACAACAAATATATATATATATATTATATATATATTAATTGTTTAATTGATTTATATAGACATTTGCGATTTGCTCTCGGATCTTCAACTTTCTTGGCCGCTTGTTACATTCATTTATACAAGCGCTTCCTGTAGTTCTTTGATCTGTGCGTTGCAGTTCAACCACTTCAAAGGTGGTGATCCTCGGCTCGCAGTACGCTGGTGAGATGAAGAAAGGCGCGGTCCACCAGCTAGTGCAGATCGGCAGGGTGCCACTGATTTCCAACAATGCGACAAATGGTGTTAGGTTGGACAACGCTTCAGGACGGAGCCAAGGTGTTGGCAGGTACATGCGAGGTCGTTTCTTGGGACGTGCCGTGCGTGCGAGGTCAGCAGGCCACAGGTTGTCCATGGCTTAAATTTAATGATGTTGGGCTAGTCATGTGAGCGTTTTCACATGTTTTCACCATGTGTGGAGAGGTGTTTTCACCATCATGAACTACCTTCTGCCGAAGCAGGGCATTCTCAGCATGCACGCCAGTGCAAACGAGGGCGAGGATCCTGATCCAGCAATCCAGCGGGCTTCAGTTCCAAGAGTTACTCCATCCCAAGCTACTAGTAACAAGTGCATCGCTACTAGTAGCTAGAAACTATTAGTAACTAAGCTTGCTACTAGTGTATTTGCAGTGGTTTCAGAGGTTCGATGGCGCAATCCCCAATGTCGTTGGTTTATATGGACCCCCATTTGTCTAAGACATCTTGGGGTGCCAGTGCCATCTATTCTGAAACCACTGCAATCTGAATGTATAGACGCTTTGGATCATTTGGCCCATATGTTGGGTTTTGTTCTTTTCTTTTCGGCTGCTACCTTGAATTTGTCTTGTGATGCCGACTGACCTGTGTGTCAGCAGCACCGCTTTTGGACCGATCCACAAGGGGTCATCGTGGACGGCAAGCGAGAGTGATAGAAGAGGTGTTTCAATCCAAATGCAGGTAGTTTTCTTAATCAAGAGTCTACATTAGGAGGTTGACCCGGACTCTCTTGAGGTGGAGTCGGAAGCCGTCAGATCATCCAAGTAGCCTCCAAGCACTGGAACAGAATATGTCACCCCAAACCAAATGTTCTTGAGAGATTCTTGACATGAAATGACACAAGAACATTGGTGTCATGCATTCTGAGCAGTGACTACCTCTTCCATTGACTACCTCTTGGGGCACTCACTACCTCTTCTGACCCCCATTCCGTCACCCCCACAGCTCGCCGTGTGCCCCGCGTTTCGCCGTCAGGACGGCGACGTCACGGTCTTCTTCGGCCTCAGTGGCACCGGAAAGACCACGAGACTCGGTGGCACTTCGCTACAACCGGGGCTGAGCCCTTGGGGTGAACCGTGAAGACTGCCGCTGTTTCTTCGGACTGGGCCGGTTCGTGGACGTGTTTGGGGATGTATGTTCAGAACGCAAAGCTGAGGGTGACAGGGACATGACTGCGGAAATTGCATTCCTATTCTTGGTTTAATAAACTATAAACTCCCCAAAGTATTCATGGAAGTGGAGATTAGGCTCCTGGAAGACTGTTGTCTCTACAAGGGGTCTTATTCCACTTTCATGTCTATGACTTGGAGAGTAGGTCATATTTTGGGGCACACAAAGCATCACCAAGCCCAAATACCACCAAACACTCCTGCCATCTCCTGCCTGCACATGATGCCTGCGAGCCTTACGGTGCCCCTTGGGAGCTCCGAGTCCACCGGGTCCGACCGCCTCGACGCGCCGACGGAGGCTGTCCGCCGACGAGAACCGAAAGCTCATCGGAGACGACGAGCACGCCTGGACGGACAAGGCCGGCGAGGAGGTGCTGCAGGTTGTGCATGCTAAGTGGACCTATATAAGTAGAGGCTCAAGAAGTTGCTGGGCTAAGTTGTATAATGTGGATTCTCGACTGTATCTAGCAACTTCCTTGTGGGAAGGGAGTTGCAGCACTCGCTTCGGCACTGAATCAGGGTGTGTTCAACATCGAAGGAGGCTGCTATGCGAAGCTCGGTGACATCAGCACATCAAAGCTGGGTCCAGCTGGGTGTCTTTCTTTCCTTTAGTTACTAGTTCACCTTCTAGCCATAGTCATTGGCATTAATGAGGATCAAAGAGGGTCTGGGTTCAGTGGCTGGGTGCAATCCACCAGTTCGCTGGCACGCGCGAAGCCCGGAAGCCACGACCAGTGAAGTTCTTCTTAGGGGTCGCCACAAATTCTCCATCAGTTCTCGATATTTGATGAGATTGGCGCTTTCCTCCCAATTCCCTTCAGACCCGCCTCTCAGAACACGAAGTCTGGGGGGAAATCGAGTTGGTTCAATACATTTCAATACAAGGGTGCAGCGTCGTCTCATTTCAAGACGAGACGTCACCAGTCGGACCTTCCATCGGCTTTGCCGAGCTGTTCACCGTTGTCGCTGGTGAGCGAGTTACCGCGAGATCGCTGATTGAGTCGAGGAATCAGGAATGTAGGCTCTTGAAGAATAAAACTCCCTAGATTGGATGAAGAGGTGACCTAATTTGATCCTTAGCGAAATGGCTACACTCTGTGAGAGGGCTTTGGAGAGAGAGGGAGGGAGAGGTTTTTCAATCCAAATGAGGGGTGGTTGTCAATCAAGTCTACATTAAAGATATTATATATATATAAAGGAGGTTTACCCTTGACATGCAGATGGAACTGCCCCTCATAAGATTGTTTCTCCATTCGACGATCACTCATCCAGATGGCAAAGCCACATTCACCTTGCAAAATCTTGTAACCAACGATTGAAGTGGTCAGCTGTCATAGCTGTTTGAGATTATTTGGTTTTGGACCTTTTGGAGGAATTGTATGGAATAGTTATGAATAGCTCTACATGTTGGCCCCCACCTTTGAGAGGCCCAACTCTCCATCCAAAAAACGCGTTGTCCTCGCGTCACATCCGCATCCGCATTCACCATCCATTTGCCAATCGCCTTGCCGAATCGAAGTTGGCCCGTTACCCATCGGTGTGTCATTCATCGTCAGGAAGGCGATTGGCCTCACCAGGGAGAAGGAGCCGGAGATTTGGGATGCCATTCGCTTTGGTGCGCTCTTGGAGAACGTGGCTTAGCACTCAATAGTTCCATTCTTGGAAGGGAACCTATCACAATGAGGCCGCAAGTGGATTTGCAAGAGTGGTACAGGCGTAGCGGATTTGACACTCACGTTGCCTCATGGTCCTGGTTTTCCTGCTTTGGGTGCTCGACCTTTTTGGGGGAACATGGGGACACCATACATACATATAATATATATATATACAAATGGGATTATATCGCGTGTACACGAGGAGTTGGTGTGAATGATGATGCATGTTTTTAGCTCTTGGTTCACAGGCTCTATATAGTTATATATAGCCCCCTTTGTCCCAACGCAAAGAACACCACGTCGAACAGCTTCAACCGCCCACGCTCTCCAGGTGGTCTTCGACCAACGCACCGGTGAAGTCGACTACAACGACAGCAGCATCACCGAGAACACCCGGGTCTCGCCGCGTGGACGGTCATCCGTTTGCGGGTCCCGTGCCCGGGAGGCTTGGAGGCCACCCAAAAAGGACATCCAAGGATCGTCGACCTATAGGCTTGGACCATCTTTTGCTCCCAACCTTGTGCTTGGAGCTGAGTGGTTTTCAATTGCTGTTTAAATCAGGCCTTACCGAAATCTTTAAAAACAGGGCCTGACCACGGGTCTTTCAAAACAGAACTCCACGGCTCGACGGTCCAAACATCAATCCGCAGCGGAGAAGACCTCTTGGGCGTTCCGAAGAGTCAGAGAGTGGGTGTTCTCTTTTGGAAGACCAGTTGGGCGTGTTTTCGAACTGGTTCCAATATCTATAGTGATACAATATTAACATATTATTACTATGAAGTGACGCCCCCGGAAATTAAGACGACCGGGTTCGAATTCGTTTTCGACCATAGAGTTTGGCTCACAGCACATGCCCTGCCGTGACTGCGGGCTCCCTTGCGGGGAGCACGAGGCACTCTGCAGCTTTTGCAGGACCCGCAACCGGCTTTGGTTCGTGCTCGACGACCTCCCGGTTCAACTTCGCGGCTGGGCAGTAAACAGCCTCCGGATCTGGACAAGCATCCTTCAGGAAGAGGGGGACAAGCACCAAGAGCATCTTCGGTTGCAGGAAGAGGCAGGCAAGACAACTGCCCCTAAAGCGAAGAGCCCGGCTTCCACCGTTTCTCCTGGTCCGGGGAGAGCAGAGTCAGCTGACGGAGGAGAGCGCCCTGACAAGACGTGGGTGGAGCCGAAACGTGAGGAAGAAGAGACAAAGAGCCCCATCAAGAAGGAGGACAGTCCGGTAGAGGCTGAGGAGGAAGGCAAGGAGACCAGTTCTTCGAAGGCACATCATCGAGTACCAGATCAACCGTCAAGGAGGAGAAGCAGGTCACGAAGCAAAGGCCGAAGAGAGAGGAAGAGAGCTAGCAAGACTCGTTCGAGGAGTCGGAGAAGGCGCAGGAGAAGCTCAAGAGGGGAGGCAACAGGCGAGGCCACTCCGAGAGAGCGTGAGGCAGCAAAAGCAGATCTGAGAGCTAGACCTTCAGTTCGACCTCCACGTACACCATCCAGATCACCTCCGGGGAGGCACAATCCTCCTCCAAGGACCCCGCCTATCATCAGGCCAGCGGTCAAAAGGTGGGACGGAAAGCCACCTTCGTGGAAGCTGCAGCCAAAGTTCTTCGGTGAGAACAAGGGTGCAAAGAAGCGTGAGAGGCATTGGTATCGGGCTCAGGGAGACGATATTTGAGAGCTACAGTGGGCGATGCCACCCCGGCGTCGACCAGCTGCGGCTTTAGAAAGGGCACCTCCTGCACGGGGGGGGCATTGAGGAGGAGGCCAGCAGTGAGAGAAGCTGGACGAGCAGAAGGTGACGGTGAGTTGGAGGGTGAGGCATTGCGCCTTGCTGCAACAGGAGTGAGCTTTGAAAGAGGTGAGAAAGTGAAATGCGAGGAAGTTCCATTGGAAGTTTTCCGCCTGAGCCTGCCGATCTGCGTCGAGGGCATCTATTGGGGGGCTCGAGGCATGGTAGCAGGCTTGGTGGAGAACCTCTACATCAGGACGCCCAAGGATGTGGAGTTGGAGATCAAGGTACAGGGTACAAGCGAGGAATCCCTGCTCAAGTGGGCCACGGGCCACAGTGGCCAGAAGCTGCGGGTCCATCTCTGTGGGGACAAGTGCCCAGAGAGGCTGGAGGCGGAGGATCTGATCCATGGTACCCTCGTCCAAAAGAGGATGGGAGAGGATGACAAAAGAAAGAGAAAGAGGAGCGCCGGGCCGAGAGCCCAGAGAAGAGCAAGGAGAAGGTAGACCTGAAGGCAGGAGCTCGAAAGGAATTGAAGGAGGTGTTCGGCGGGACAGGGCTAGATCCAGACCCCCGCTATCGCCGCCGCTTTGCAGTGAAGGCCCAGAAGAAGATAAAGAAGAAGAAGAAGAAGGACTCCTCTTCGTCGGGGAGTTCGGGCAGCGAGGAGACGAGCACCTCAGAGTCCGTGGAAGTCTTCGAGGAGCAACAAAAGGTTCGTCGACTCTCACGTCGAGCTCCTGGTGTCCTAGCGGCTCTCGCCATGCGGGAAATGCAGACAAGTCTTCTCACGGCGACCGGTGGAGTATGGCATCAAGATCAAACGGCCATACAACCTCTGGCCTGCCAATACTTTGGCACGCCGGCTTTAAGGAGGACCAGGTCGAGAAGGGCTGACACTTTGCTGGGCCATCGATCTAGCATTACAAGGCAGGATGGCGGAGTGTGTCGACGCCCTGGTTCAGAGGTTGAAGTCAGTGGAAATGGTGTCGCAGGGATCGGCATGGCAAATCGCTCAGAGGCTCGAGGTTTTGCCTCCGGAACGACCCCTCCTTTCCTCAAGGGGGGAAGCAAAAGAGGCAATCAGAGAACAAAAAGAGGAACAAAGAACTCGCAACGAGGCATCCAAGGGCAAAGGAAAGTCGGACAGCTGGCAATGGCGAGATTACGCCAACGAAGGAAAAGGAAAAGAAGCCAAAGGAAAGGGCAAGCGTGGCAAGGACAAGAACGAGCAGAAGAAGTGAGGAGGAGGATCTCGCAAGTGCCAGGTACAGGAGGGTGTCCGCCCTCGAACTATGAGGCCCCGTTTGAAGAGGAGGCCAAGCTTTTTGAAGTGGCTCTGACGCCAAGCAGTCATGTCGACGAAGCTGGACCAGAGCAGCACCGAGGCGTCTGGCTGGGTAATCCGGCCGATCGTTCACGCCTCCCTGCGGATGAGACCTCGTTGATGACCTCGTCTGCGGAAAAAGATTGCATGCATTCGCCGGTGGCGGGAGATAGTTTGGTTCAGGTTGTCCCTTGGTTAGTGACCGAGTTGGTTCGTCTGTGTCCGAAAGTAGGTTTGGACGTGCGGTGCAAGACCCAGCCCAAGGGTGATGTGTTTCCATTGCCCACCAACACGTTGCACTTAAGGGACATCACGGGTTTGGACCTGGACATTGCTGGTATGGTTAGAGGGATGTGCTTGGCGCTGAATCTCTTTTATGGGGTGGCCGCTGAGAATGACTTCCACCCTACTTCACTTCAGGTTGAGGCTGTAAAGCATCTAGCTAGGGAGGCTCAAGTGGCATCAGAGTGGCCAGAAAGACTCGAGCAGACTTCGTGGCAGGAGTTCTTTCACCGGAAAACCATCGATTGCTGCGGAGATGAAGTTCTCTGCGCCCAGTCTACGAGTTGGGCCAATTTGGCACCGGCCATGCCAGCTGAAATAGCTTCCGTTGAGCTGGCTGATGTGTGTGAGTTGGGGTGTAGGCACTATGTGAAAATTTTTTGGAGTATCTCCTTCCCGGGGAGATGCAGCGAGCCATGAAGGGACCACGTGTTCTAGTGCATGATGACCATTGGCGTGAAGTATGCGAAGGGTTGACGAAGAATGGGGTGTGCACCATTCTCCCAAAGAGCCAGGTCTATCACATTGACGGGCAGCCTTTGTTGAACACCCTTTTGGGAGTCAAGAAAGACGAGATCGTGAATGGAGTGCCCGTCCACAGGCTCATCATGGACCTGAGGCCATGCAACAACGTTTGTAGGGGCTTGGAAGGCGACGTAGCCACCCTACCAAGTTGGGCAACGATGGGGCCACTTCAACTTATGCCTACGGAAGATCTGGTGGTGTCATCTGAAGATGTGCGCTGTTTTTTCTATATATTCCGGGTGCCCTCTGCGTGGCACCCCTTCCTGGCATTCAACAAGCCACTGCCTGAGGACATGTGGCCCGGTGATGATGGACCGTACTACATTGCCTCCCAGGTACTAACCATGGGGTTCAAGAACTCGGTCAGCCTGGCACAGCATGTTCATAGGAACATCGTGAGGATGGCATCCACCCGGACGGGTGAGGGTCTTCGGCCTGAGCAAGAGGCGCGCAAAGACCGACCATTTTCTTCATCGTCATTGCTTCACAGGATCTACGTCGACAACTCTGCTTTTCGAGGTTATCCACCGGTCATCAAGCTGCCTATCCCCGAGGGGGTCAAGTTGGAGGTGGCAAGATTCCTTTGTCTCATCCCCTTGGCGAAGTTGGACTTTCGATTGGGCATCTCGTCAGAAGTCACGGCGAGTGATGCATCCACCTCAGGTTGTGGATTGACGGTGACGACGGGACTGACAGGGTTTGGGGTAGCAGCCTCGGAAGCAGCCACCAGAGGTGACGTAGCAGAACCACATGATCTTCATGGAGTACTCACGATTGGGCTTTTTGACGGCATAGGCGCACTCCGCGTAGCAAGCGGATGCGTGTGGGCAGCGGTGGTAGGTCACATCAGTGTTGAAGTGAACAAGGCAGCCAGTCGGGTCCTCAAGAGTAAGTTCCCGGCCACCGTCTTCGTCGAAGGAGGTGTTGAGGCTGTCTCGGAGGAGGAAGTGCGGCGGTGTCACTCCCGTGCCAAGGAGTGAGTGGGCTGAACGCCTATCGTCGGGGAGCATTGCGGGACCACCGTAGCTCCTTATTCATCTATGTAGAGCGCATTCGGGAGATGGTGAAGCAACAGTTCAAATGGGCGCAGGTGCGCTATCGCCCAAGACAGACAGGTAATGACGAGGTCCTTTGGCGATCTTCCAGTTCAAATCGATGCCAGCGGTGTTTCGCTTGCCCGGCGACCCAGGCTGTATTGGTGCGACTGGGACTTGAAGGCAGGTCAGGGGGTCTCTGTGGGCCCACTCAAAGGATCAGGCGGCGCTGCGTTCAGGAAGGTCGAGCTGCAGGCAGAGGTGGAAACGAAGAGCTACTTGCAGCCCGGATGTGGCAAAGCTTCCACTGAACCGTTCCCTACGTTCACTACCTCAAGGCCCAGGGACTATGCAGGAAGGAGACCAGCAGGATTGGACAAGTTGAGCGCCCAAGAGAGTCAGAGGCTTCGGTGGGAGGAGGATGCTTTCCGCTTCCCGCCATACCAGTACCAGGAGAAGCTCATGATCCTCGATGCCAAGAAGCAGCCATGGCTCCCAGATATTCAAGAGAGAGAGGTGATCATGGGATGGCCAAGCAATGGCAAGGGTCACCTCAGCACTTGGATGAAAGGAAAACCTTGATTGGCAACTCGTGGAATGTGACTGTGGTTACTTGGTTGATCTCGCAACTGGGCGGCCAGTTGGGACTTTGCCCCTTTCACCGCAACAGGCTGTGGACAGGACAGGTGCTGGGTTTTCGGGTGGACTGGCGGGACTCCTCTATAGGCCTCCTATGCACTCGGGGAGGAAGCAAAGCCCGCCAAACGGGGAGCTAACTCTGGTGAAGAAGCTCCTAAACCTGGTTAGCCTCAAGGGGGAGGACATCATGCTGCAGGCGCCGTCTGAAGACACTCTTCGCTACCACAGGTTGAGGGCCAGCCTTCCGGCGAAGTTGTGGAAATGGCGTACAGTGATGGGGTGGCGATGGTCAGGGTCGCCTGAGCATATCAACGTCCTGGAGTTGAGGGCGGTTCTCACCAGCATCAGGTGGCGCATTCTCAAGAGACGTGCATTTCGAACGAAGATGGTACATATGATCGATAGTCTCGTGTGCTTGCATAGTTTGGCTCGGGGCTGGAGCAGCAGCCGGAAGATGAGGAGGACCCTGAGCCGAATTGACGCTTTACTCCTAGCTTCGGGGAGTCATGGAGTATGGGCGTATGTCCATACTTCACAAAACCCAGCGGACCGCCCTTCGAGGCGGCCAGTTAAGAAGAAAGTTCAAAGCAAAACTAGAGCACGTTATGATAAAGCTATGGAGCGCTATCGCAATTTTCTGCGAGAGGAGAGCCGACCTTATCCTCGAGATGCCGCGGGCCAAGACTATGTCCTTTCACACTACATAGAGCACCTCTGGGAGACTGGCGAGGGACGGGCTCTCGCCTGTGATACCGTCGCGGCGGTTCAGGATTTTCATCCCTTCCTTAGAGGTCACTTACCCAGTGCATGGCGGCTTTTGAAAACATGGTCGTCCAATGAGCTACCAAACCGCGCACCACCACTTCCATTAGACGCCCTTCATGTTCTGACCGGGTATGCCTTGTTCATTGGCCAGCCACTGTTTGCTCTTTCGCTGCTCCTGGGATTCCATGGGCTCCTGCGCACCGGGGAGCTGCTTGGAGTCAAAAAGGCGCATGTCGTCCAGTCGGGCCCTCGCAGCCCAGCACTAATCTCTCTCGGATTCACAAAGGGTGGAAAGAGAGCTGGCGCTGGTGAAAGCGTCACCATTAGGGAAGAGGACGCCTTGAGAAGGCTTTGGCAGTGGCTGAATACACCCCAGGCTCCAGCAACTTTATGTGGCACACCGCATTCATTGCGCAAGACTTTTAATGAGTGCGTTTTAGCTTGTCAGGTAGACAGTTATGACTTCCGACCCTACAGCCTTAGGCGGGGCGGGGCCACTTTGTATTTCGGCCGACACGGCTCGTTAGACCGCCTCCTAGTCCAAGGGAGGTGGGCTTCTAGCAAAACGGCACGAATTTACATCAACGAAGGACTTGCTGTCCTCGCTGAACTCAAACTGGCTTTTAATGGCACAGCTCAAGCCTATCAGAGGCAATTTCAGAAATCCCTCCGTGTTCCGCTCCAAACTCTTGAGCTTCACCCCAAGGGTGGGCTAGGGGGACGCGGAAGGAACCAAAAACAGAAGCGCAAAAAACGCGCAAAGAAGTGAAATTTTTTCTCGTTGAATTCAATACCGCCGGCGGAAGGATGAAAAAGATCAAAGGATGATCTGACGTGAGGGTGGTGGCCCGGATGTTCCCCGGTCTGGCACGGCCCGGGGCCACCCTGGACTCTTTGCGGCTCACGCTCACCCCGGCCTGGCGGGGGAGCAGTGGGGGGAGTCAGAGGCAGGGGCCTCTTCCATCGAATTTTTTGGACAAGTTCCCATTACTTTATCTGACCACTAAGGTCTTGCATCGCAGTAAAAAGGAAGAAGAACTCAGGGAGTCTTTATATATATATATATATATTGATTGGGGCCCTATTATACACAAAGGGCATGTTTCGAGAAGCAGGGCCTCCGGAGCTGGCCAAGAGAAGGGCAGCTGCGCAGCCCTACAGATCTAATCACTGTTCATCAAATCATTTGACAGTGGATGGCATACAGCATATGATAGCGTTTGGCACCAGGACACAAGATCATGACAAGATGACAATAGCCATGGCCACTTGTCTTGGGTGGGTCCCGTGTGTGCACCGAAGACCGCCGCTTGCCTCAAGGTATCCACTGGAGTACATCCCCAACGTCAAGATTCCTGCGGTGGGCGGTCATCCTAAGAACATCATTATGTGACCTGGCCATACTTGAGTGTTTGGACGCCGCGCAGAGAAACATGGGCGATTGCAGAATGACTGGCGCCGGCTTTCACCGCTTTTTGAAGCCCCTCAAAGATCGCGCTTTTCAAGGCAAATTGCTGGAAGTGTCCTATATCCCATTCTCATGCTGAAGCTAGTGCGCCGCATGAGTTGGTGGGTGTCGGTCGTTACTGGCTTAGTACAGATGCATTTTGAGGTTAACTTGGGAAAAACTTAACTTAACTCTTAGATACTTTATTGAACACTTCATTGATGCGTTTTGCATCGTTTTGCTATGATCTGATATGATAAGCGGTAGGAAGGTGTCCAGGCAGACAATATAGAGTCCACAGCAAGAGATGAAACATGATTGCAGATCTCCAACTTCTTGAGACATCCCCTCAGAAAACACATGACTCGGACGGCATTTGTTCCAGGCATTTGTTCCAGTGATTCTCCGAAGTTCCCAACGAAACAGTTTACAGTCTTCGTTCGGAAGCGTTGCCGCAACAGCCTTGCCACAACCGTACTCCAAGATTCTTGGGTTGGTTTTGGGACAACTTCAGCTTTTGGAATGCTCCAGTTGTACTCAGTTCCCACCAACTCCAACACCCTCAAGAATTGGTCCATCCCACACCGTCACTCACCGTCACTCGTCCCTCATCCCTCATCGTGCCGTCCAAGGCTCACATGCGACGCCTTTGGCGTGCTTCCGCCCGTGTCCAAGCTCACGCCCTCACAGGCCATGCAGCTCGGAGCACGTTGCGCCGGTCTCGGCGTAGCCGGCAGAGCGCCGGTCTTGCCGGTGCGTCTTCAATGAATGAAGTGATCACAATATACTAATATCCATAATATATATAGTATATAATTTGATATGTATATAATATATGTATGTTTGGGTGTCAAGATGTCGTGATAGCTGCTAGGGCTAGGATGTTACTTGGGGGTGTTGATGCCCCATATAATGAGTTTCGTTTGATGTATAGTAAGCGAATTCAAACACCAGATGCCCGCCCCTGCAATCTTTGAGAAGAAACGTGTTGAGAGTATTTGCATTGTTTTGCACCATCTACTTGGAACTCCGCCGTGCGAGTGCTCAGGTATCACTTCATCTCAGGCTACACTGCTAAGGTCGCTGGTACTGAGGCGGGCGACTTTGAAATGCAGCTGGTCTAGTTGATGGGGTTGCCAGCTAGACGTAGATGAACGTTCATTTGATGTGCTGGCTGCCCATGGGAAAATGTTTTAAAAGCAATGACCAGATCACCAGTAAACCAATGTAAACCATAGGTTTTGCAATGGTTTTCCCTTCGCAACATAGGAGCCAGCTTTGTCACCCCAAGTCGCGACCGCCGACCTCGCCAGATGGGCATCAGTGAGCCGACCGCGACCTTCTCCGCTTGCTTTGGAGCTCCTTTTATGGTGTGGCACCCGGCCAAGTATGCTGAACTGCTGGCAGAGAAGATCCTCGGTTGATGCACGGACGAGAAGATCCTGTTTCGTTGGTCAAACTGGTTCATGCACCGACCTCATGGTGCGTCGGTGTTCGTGACCTGAAAGGATTTGGAACGCGTAAATGCAAGAAATTCACATCCTTTGCCCAAGCTCATATCGGTTGGCCGACTACAGTATAGGTGCTGTGGGTCGTGTGAATCGGTCCTTTTTGACCATCGCCTGGTGATGCAGGATGGCCAAGCACAACGTGAACGCTTGGTTGATCAACACTGGCTGGACCGGAGGTGCCTTTGGCTCTGGCCACCGCATGAGCCTCAAGGACGAGTTCGTGTCTCAGAAGGTGATGATTCTTTCAGGTGCAATATATAGTTTACCGTGGTAAACCACGGTTCATCCTACACCCACAAGTGAGTGGACCGGCGACGGTTTTTTGCTGTAGGAAGTGGGTCTTCGGCAGGGTTGCTGTCCCTTTCGCGACCTCAATGAATAATTTTGTCGATTTTGGGTTTTTGCCGGATGTCCAGGATGTCCTTTGTTGATCTTTGTTGATGTTTTGCCTTGATCCAACCAGAAAGGGGCGGGGTGGGGGACCCTGAAACACAGGGTTTCACAAGAAAGGTTTCAAGTGACAATTGTTAATTTCTGGTCTTGGATTTGGGGCGCGTAAATATCCAGCATCACTGGCAAGGGATCCTTGAACTTGAACAGCACTTGCTACTAGTAGCGGTGGCCTCCAACCTAGTAGCTTCTTGCTACCAGTAGTAATGCACTTGTTGCATAGGCCAGTCATGTCGAACTGTCTCTTTGGGCCAGGACACCCGCGCCATCATCGATGCCATCCACTCCGGGGATTTGGCCAAGGCGGAGTACGAGAACTTCCCCAGGTGCCTGGACGTGTGTGCTGTCCATGGGTTTGGCAGGGTGATGCTTGAAGATCCTGTTTCCACCAAAGCTTGGGTATTGATGCTTGACCTGTGGAGGGTGGCAGTGGCTGCGGGTGTTCTCCAACTCTTTGTTGCAGGCAATTCTCACGTCCACATGCAGAGACCGAGCATGTCAACTTCAAAGTGTCCAGAAGAGCTGTGAGATTGCCTTGCAATGCTAGGTTTGACTTGATAAACTTTTTGCTCTAGATGCATGAGCTGTGATTGCATAATAAGTCATAACTTGTTCTAGCATGTTCTAGCCAAATATGTGTGCACTTATGTTTGCTTCAGTCATTTTGAGATAGTTTTCCTCCAAGAATCCTTGGTCACTTGCGGAAATCCGTTTCATCGGAGGTTTAATTTGCAAGTGCCCAAGACCTGCCCCAACGTGGATGCCAAGATCTTGCCACTCGGTGACCACCGGGATCTCGGTTCCCTTTTGGTCGGTGGCCGCTGGTCCGTTTCCGAGCATCCAATGGTTGTGCTGTCGGCTGCCATCATGTTCAGCCATTCTGTTGCATCCTCCTCTGAGTACGTAAGGAGCCAATTCTGGTTTACATGCCACTTCTATCCAATTCTGGTTTACATTTCACTTCATGGGCGAGCAGCAAAATGTCCGAGACACCCCTACAGTTGATCTTCGCTTAGCTGTCCAACCATGTTGTTGATGCCACACAATTGTTGGAACGGAGTGTGGAGGGGATGGGCCTTCCAAGTAGGTTTCCATTTGTTTTAGAGAGACCAAGGTTTGGCCTTTCCTTTGAGACCTAAAGTTCCCAATCCTTCCTTGCCACTGCTAGGAAGGAGTTTCTCACAATTTTTCGGCACATGCGCATTTCAGACTCTGACCCAGGATGCCGAACAAGACCTGGTCAGATCAAGCTGAATTCGAGAAGATGTCGGCCAAGTTGTCGGGGCTCTTCAAGGACCTGAGCGCACTCTTCAAGACTGCACACCCCAGCCGATGCCGACATCTCGTATGCAGTCATCGGAGCGTGTCTCAAACATGCTGAGGGGGGAATGGAATGGGAGGTGCATGCTTTGGTCATGCTGCATTCATGACATGACGTGTTTTGTAATTCTAAGATGTTTTTCATGCGGCATGTTTTTAGGGAAAGTGACTCGGGAGAAGAATTAATGAGTTACTGTGTTATTAAATATACAGGAAAGCAGTTTTAAAGAAGCAGCCTGAACCGAACCTTCCCGGGGTGGCCCTTCCTAAAGGCAGACATTTCCGGGACTATAGCATGATATAGCATTCATATCACAAGAGAGAGCATAATTTATGGTGACTCAGCCATGGAGGCCTACTACTAACCGGCTTTTTGTTTTCTATATATATATATATTAATATATACACGTGTTATTGGCAGCTGTGCAATGGGAGTTCTGAATCACATATTTATGGATGATCTACTCTATACAATGCGACAAACACCGCACTGGGCCAGGAGAACTTCACCAAGTTCCAAGAAGGGTGCTCTGAAGACATCAGGGCAGCAGCTCCACAGTAGAGTCGCACTTGATGCATATTTGGCTTTTTGGCTAGCATTTGGCAGCTATGCCGTATAGATTTAAGATATTGCCATGGTTTTTAGGCCTTTCAAGGTCCATGGTCTGAAGATACATGAGCTTGATAGCGGTATTTGGGCCGTAGACCTTCCCCATGACCTTCAGGGGCCGCAGTGGGCAGGGAGGAGGAGGCCTAGGCATAGGTGACCAATTATTCAGTATTGATAAAACACAAGAAACACAAGTTGAGGGACATTTAACCTCAAAGTAACCCATTTGGTTTCTCTCTCACTTCTCACGCTACTAGGAACAAGTGCCTTACTACTAGGAACAAGAAGCTACTAGTAACAAGTGCCACGCTACTAGGAACAAGTGCCTTACTACTAGGAACGGGAAGCTACTAGTAAGTTGAGACGACGCTCCGTGGGCCGTGCGGACTCGTCGAGACGCTCCGTGGCCGTGGGCCTGGCAGATGGCCGCCCACGACACCGATGCGCGAGGGTGGGGCGAGGCATGTGGGCGTGACACGAATGGAGCAACTACTGCATGTAGTGAGACTCATCGACTAATTCACCCTAATTAACACATGTTTGTGCCTGCCAAGTAATGTGGATTTAATAGGTTTTACTATGGTTTATTGTATCTAAGAATCACGGTGGTTATATGGTCACAGGAGAAGTATCGACAAGTGAATGTGAATCGTTTGACTAGGAGTAGCTGAGTGAGTAGCTGATCCAGGGGTGAGCTGATCCAGGCAGGTTGTAGGGGTTCTTTGGGTTTGAGTTGATGGACTATGACGTGGATAGATTTGCCTGGCGAAGACTCACGCTAGGAATTTGAGGCAAATTGCTTGTTGAATGAGGGCTCACATCCCTATGTCAAGCAGGTGTGTAGAGGTGGTCCAACATCTTCCAAAGGACAGTTAATCAAAGGACAGTTAATCAATCTTCCTTGGGCCTGCAGAAGAGTGTGCTAGCACTCTTCTGCATTCAACACCCCGGTGTGGCAGGTCTTCTGGGGCAGTGAACAGACAGGTCATTGACGTGTGGTGTTTTCACGGCTTCCCTTCCAATCACACTTCAACTCTGAAATTCTAGCCAGTCAGTCGGGAACGTGGAGTCAAAGGACCGCCGGCTTGTGAAAAAGAATAAAGAACCAGGATGTTCACGGACTCCACATGCCAAGCTCCTCCTCGGCTTGATGGACACCACTTGTGCAGTTTCGTTTTGTTTGACCCGAAGCGGCCTCTTTTGTTCGGCGGATTTCAATGGCCGGTTTGATCAGTAGACCATCGATAGCGGAGAAAAAAGAGGTTGCCGTTGGAGAGGTCCAGTGATCATTTGTTTCAGCACCCCATGAGTGCTGGTCGGAACCAATTTGATGGTCCAAACCCTCACCCCTCAGCTCGTGAGCCAAGATGTTAGCAGGATGAAGTCCTGAGATATGTATCATCCACTGGGCCCTGGTAATGGGATATACCGAATGAATACCATTATAATCATTATATATTCAGTTATGAGCCATGGACTTGTTGATAGTCAAGAGGCACGATGATGCCATCGTTTACGTCCTGTGTTTCAACGCTGGCTTTGAGATCTCCCCTTATTGGCCCACTTGGACATGGCGGGCGTACGGGGGGGGTAGAAGGCACTAGCATACTGGACAAAGCTCTTGAACATCCAAAGGAACAGATGCCGGGCATTGACTTCCTCGTGGGTTTGAGCATCAGAGCGATGGTGATGGTGGTCAATTGCTTAACCCATGTTCGAAAAGTGCGGTGCCGGTGCTGTGTCTTCGAGAATCTATCCCCGGCTTGTGCACCCGTTTGCAGCGGTCAGATGGTCAGTTGATCCATCGGTCCTAAGGGCGTAGAGTCACGGTGAGTCCTGTTTCGGGCTGTCGCCACCTGTGGCCAGAGGCCGAGATCATCCAGCTCATAGAGCAGGTGAAGCAAAGCTGCTTGAAACATGAGCTAGTGCTGCTTCCGGTGCTGATTCCGGAGCTTCAGGCCAGACACGACACGACCAGGTCCAAGTCAGTCTCAGGTTTTCTTTAGGTCAGGTGTTGTCTTTGGTGGGTGTAGCTCGCAGAAGTCTGAGTACGGGCATGTTGTGCATTTGACAAGTTAAGGGTCCTTGGTTGGATTTCTGGTCCCGGAGCTATTACCAAGGCCTCACTGGCAAGCGAGGCACCAGCACCCCTTCTGTACTATTCTGTACTTAATTATGCCAGATGGTGTGAAAGCGTGCTCCGTGGATCTCCTGGAACATTTATCCTGGCATAAACGGATGCATTTGAGGAAAATACAATGGACTACCCTACACTGCTTAGGACCTCCAGCCAGGACACGCCGAAATCTTCCGATGGATATATAGTGCAGGATCCACGCGTGGGCTGGAACGGATGGTCCAGTGCATCCAGTTTTGCTTCCCAGGGAAGTTTGACAGAAAAAGAACGACAAACCACTTTTTGTAAGCATCCCCATCAATCCCGCAAGTAAACATAGCAAATCATTAGCAGCAAACTGCTTCTTTCAAGATTTTCTGATTTTCCTGGAACCTCAACTTCCGTGTTGCAAGCTGCGGTCCAAAATGGGCTCCGAAGTGGTTCCGGCCAGGTGGAACCGGTTTCGGGAGCCAACCGGTTTGGCCAGGTAGAGACCGAAGCTCGCTGGGCCCTGCAGCGCTCTTTATGGGACAAACCCTGGTTGCGCGGAGTGGCTCAGTCCCTTCTGAGCGCCTTCCAGGCGCTGGTGGGCACCGTGTGATCTAGTGGGGTGGATCATCCCAGCTTGGAGGTGGCATGAGGTGGCTCGGTGGATCATTCGGAGTCTAGGACCTATAGGAGTCAACTAGGTCTTCAAGTGAAGTGGTCTTGTTCCTTTGGTTTCCTTTCTGTTCCGGCAATGGGTGGTTGAAGTCTCCTCTCACTTGCCAAAAGCTCCTTCACTTGCATATGTTCCTCGCCTGGTCGCGTTTGTGAGTTGATGTGACTTGGGCATCATGTCTCACAAAGCAGCACAATTGCTTGCACCGCTGGCCTGGAGGGTATCATCAATTGTATTTCTTGCCCTTGTCAGGGGCGAACCTGCAGATGACGCTGTCACATGCAGTCACAAGCACATGACTGGTTGATCGTCAGTCGTCAGTATCAGGAATCCACGGGCCTCGCCACTACCCCACTCAAGAATCATTCCGAATCAGGGGGTGACTTAGTGGGTGACTTCAAGACGGACCAACCAACCTGCAACGGGGTGGGGCCCACGCCACTGCGCCACTGTGAGGGCGAAGTAGACCTTGAGGCAGCTTCAGCTAAAGGCCGGTGGTGGAGAATAGCCGGGCATGTGGTGGACAGCTTTTGAGGAAAGATTATAGCTACTTGGATTTGGGAGGTTCTTCTCACATCGCACCTGTTTAAGTCTAAGTCCGTTCAGTTGTGGAAATCGAACATCCATGAGGCACATCGAAAGTGTGAACTACTTGGTTTTTCAGAGGCCGGGGTGCACCTTTTTCCTACCCAGTCAGTGGACTTCCGTATAACCTTTCACCTTCTTTGGAGCTTTTTCCCCACAAAAAACGAAGAGGTGGAAAAAGGTTCTGGTTGCGCAGTTTGCACCATAGCCTGTACATGGTTGACACCAATGCTATGGGTCTTTCTATCTCAAACAACTGGGGGAGAAACCGGGCTTGCCGCCTTTTGCCCTGGCGTCCACCGGTCGACCGGTACCTCTTGCGACGCCAGGCGAGCAGCGGAAGCTGCAGAAGCTCTTAAAGAGACACACCTTGCAGCTGAGTCTTGAGGAGATGAAAGAAATTCTGAAAGCCTTGGATAAAGGCGGGGCAAGGAGGGTCTGGGTTGAAACCGCAGCATGTTTGGCTGTGAAAGGGTGATGAAAGGCCCGTATTTACACCAAACGTTGGACCTATAGCCTGAACATGAGAGGCTGAAAGTTCACGCCGGATATATCCAGATATATTATTGTGTGTTAAATGGCTCCTGGTCCCTGCAAGAAAGGCAATCCACCTGATAGATGCTTGCCGTATGCAGCTTTGCAGTTCAGATGATGACATTGTTGGCCTGGTCATTCTAGGTACCGATGTTCTAATGCGAGTGGTGATCTCATGCCTTTTGAACATGCAAGATCATGGGTTCTTGAAAGGCGTTTGTCCATGATGCCAGCTCGCAGGCATCAGCGATGAGATGGTTGACTTGGTGTTTGGTGCATTGAGTACCTCAAAGGGTACTGTGGACATCGATACACTTCTTCAATGGCTGTTCCAAGATCAGCTCCTATAGGGTCCGCCACATGCTGCGCAATGCTGCGCTCACTGAAGACTGGTTTGAGGTCCGTTGGCAGGCAGTCCACCTGTGTACGGGTTCCTAGTGGCATTAGTGTATTCCTTTGCAAGCCGGGGGGCGTGCAAGCACACTGGACCGGTCCATCCACAGCGATTAATCCCAGATGCTCCAGGTATATTGAAGGATTATATGCCATTATATGCCCACATTGATTCATGAAACCACCCCAATGTATACAGTAAGTACGACATATATATTATATATATATGTATAATATATATATACACACGTAGAATCATGTAGAGTCTGGGCTTTCAACTCTTGGGTAAGATGTCCATCATGGTGGGATTGACCCCACCGCAGTCACACCCGACAGCTTGTTTGAGTTTTCTCTGGAAAGTTATGCAAAAATATATTTAGATTTAGATCTATACATATATATATATATATTATACATAGTATACATTTGTATACACTATGTTATAAATATACATTTTTCAGACAAACATCTCTTGAACGAGAGATCTATCGCATGCACCCCTAAGGGCTACAGGGTCAGTCCGTTCTTTTCAAAAGAATGAACCACCAGAACCGCCTTTGGTGACTTCTCGGCGGACCAACATTAACATAGATGTGCCAAGGGGCCGTACCTGACGGCCTTGCGGCGCAGAGGGCGGGCCGTGTTCACGGCTGCATGGAAAGTGCAAACGGTCATGGTAGAGAGGGTGGTCTCAGATTTTGATGCAGAATTCACATGTTCACTTAGGTCTTAAGTCAGACGTTCTGGATGATTTAGATTCCGATGATCGAGAATATCCACTTAATTCAAACGTTTGGATCCTAAGCGGATATTCATGGGTGATCGGGGCCAAACATTCTTGTTTGTTTGGACGCTTGGACTACTTTGGACTTTTCAGAAAACAAACGGATGCCAGGGTGTTGCCAGGCCTCGCCCGAAGGCCCCAGCCACACCCCAAAGTCGGGAGTGGCGCGTGGTTGAGGGTACTCCAGCGGTAGGTGAGTGGCTCACCGGCAGAGGTCCAGATGAAGCAACTCACGGGTTGGTGGTTGGTCCAAATGTATGCATGGACTATACTATGACTCTGACACATTAGGACATTGTGACCCGAATGTAGCTCATCAGCGTCTTTGGGTGCCTGATCTGTGTCCTGGTGGGTGCATGAAATTGGGGTGTCCTAACAACACAATTTTCAGGGAGAGGGGTGGCTCAAGCATTTCCCAAGCCCGATGACCGTCTCATGACAGTTTGTTCAGCCCCCGAAGCTTTGGGAGCTGTGTTTCTTTCGAGGCAGGACGTCCGAGGGGTATTTAATCAGAATCTCAGAATCAGATTCTGAAGGACTTCCAAGTCCTAGAGCCGGCCAGAGAAGATTCTTTGGATTCTATTGAGGATCATTTGCTGGGAGTCACCCGAAATATGAGCAGATCCATGCCACCTGGGCCAAGCAGTTAAACTGCTCTTGGGAACGGTGGCTTTTCAGCGACCTGAGTCTTTGAGCGATGGCTGATTGACACCGGATTGGCCAGGCTCTAGAAAACCCAGAGGTCACCTCAAGAAAAGGGCCACAGCGGAGCTTGAGGAGGGCGGCTTAGCTCGGTGAAATCGCTCCTGAGAGGAGGGACTGTTGAGGCTCAGGCCCTGCAGGTGTCCTCATTTGGTTTGGGATGTCAAGGATCACACCTGGCGACCTGGCAGCCAATGCGGATTTCCGGGGCTGCTCGAACCGTTCGAGCCGTTTCATGCAATGGGATTGGAGGGGAAGAGACTCGGAGAGGGAATATGAATAAGATATCCACCGACTTGCACAGTGCTATAGGTGTTATGAAGGGCCAACAATTGTTATGATGTTCAAAGACGTTCAAAGAACTGTCCGGCAGTGCGACGAGGTATGCTAGAACTAGCACACATTCAACGAACTCCTCAAAAAAGGCAAAGCTGTATGTTCACATCTTCATAAATTGTTTATCCTGCCATCCATGTCATCGTTTTCGACATCTGCAACATGAATACCCCACATCACAAAACTGTTTCACTGCTTGCTCGACTTGGCAGGGGAAAGAGCCCAACTCACCAACGCGATCCATGGCAGGTCTTGTGACTCCTCAAATTGGAATCCTTTGAAACCTTGGCCATCCTTGGCCTAAGATCACTCTTTTGTGACCCCAGATGCAGCATGCATGATCCTTTCCAGAGCCAGAGCTGACCTGTGTGGTGAGAAAGACTTAGGATCCTGGTGCATTCTGTGACCTTCCATGCGTTCGAAGAATCGCGCCTTTCGAAAGCCATGCTGGCTCCAGCCCACGATGCGCTATCCATCCGAGGGCCCCAAGCCCGTCAGGAGCGAAGCACGACGCCGCCACACGGCACAGCGCAGCACCCTGCGGCGCAAGCCATGACGTCGAGCGGATTAGACACTTTTGATTTGCTGGGCTTGGATGCTCCAGCCCAAGTTGTGAAACCGGTCACCAGTGCGCCCACGTCGACGTTGCTAGATGTGGACCCAGTGGCAGGGACCAGTACAACAGGTGCGATGGTGAACATGGGGGAGGACCAAGCCTCCCATCCAAGTAGCTTGGAGATAGAGAGTGGAAAGAGATATGTGGTCCGCTGTGAAGGGCGCTGGCGAGTGAGATCGGCACCCTCATTGAATTCCAAAGTCATTGGCACCATCGCGAATGGCACCATTGTCTTCGGTGAGGACTGTAGTGGGGAGGTCCACCCTGAGACCTCAGTGCAGGACATGGAAGGATTGATGCAGCAAGATGAGAGCATCGAACCTGAAGTGCTTCAAAAGGCCTCTTGACAAGATCCATCAGATTTTTCTTAGTTGGTGCTGGTCGCCAAAACCACCTATACTAGGTGGTTGCAACAGGTGTTTTTGGATTTGCTTCTGGTTCCCTTGCCGCTCGTGGTGTCCCACCATGCTAACTGTTGGCTTCCTGGGACACCGAGGCTTTGGGAAGCCTGACAGCTCTTTGGGTCAAAGTCACGAAGCTCGAAGCACAAGAGCCTATGGGTGTCTCGGACATCAAGCGTGACACTGCCACTGGTGGAGGCATCTACTGCCTACGGCGGAATGCGGTCGGTTACGGGCTATATCAGGACTGGTTCTGGCAGGTTGGCCTTGGAGGCCGTGATGCCTGCTAGTTCAGGTTTTAACACTAGAAGTGAGTCTTGTGCTCCATTCAATCTTTGATTCTTGCTTTAGCAGTTTGTCGTTTGGAGAAGGAATTCTGGCCGGCAGCCCCCACACCCAGAGGAAGAAGCGACAACCACAAAGAAGCAGCAAGCAGCCAGGCCCAAAGCACCGTGTAGCACTCACTACCCAGAGCTTGCAGAATCCCCTCAGCGCTTGCAACCCTTGGGTCCGCCAACAGACCCAACGCCAGGTCACCAACTTCATACCCGAAGCCACCACCGCCAGCCCCACAATTCCCATGTCCAACCCCCATCACCGAAGCAACAGCAGAACCGATTCCCAGCCCTTTCTTGCCCGCAGCCAGCCGTCCAGGTTGCCAACATCACTGCTCCCCTTGTATAGCCTTCTTGCAAATAAATAAATATATATATATATATAATATATATAAATTATATGTTGATCAAAATCTTGATCAGAGTGAAAGACCTCAGGAGAACGCCGAGCCCTTGACCGGTCCCTTGATTCATTTACCTCCTGGCCTTGGCTTGGAGCTCCGCCTGGATGCCCAGCGTGCGGCCTCGGAGCGCACCGAGGACGTGTCCTTGACCTGGAAACTGCTGGGCGCAGCGGAGAGCCTGGGACGCCTCTTTGGGAGTGATGAGTCTGGCTTCAGTGAGGACGGGTTTGTGAAGAGTGGAACGGAATGTGAGATAAATTGTCATTAGACATATACATTGAAATATGTGAAACATGTCAAACTTAAATAGTTCTATTGTTTGTTTTGGTGTCCTTTTGCGATATTAAGTTGCTTTCATGCATACTACACCACGCTTCGCTAGTCCCCCCTTGGGCCACCCGGATGAACGCGATGGTCGTCACCCAACCTTTTTTCTCCTCCAACTGTTCAGGACATCAAGACTCCGTCGAGGAGGCGGCCAGAGGATCTCTTCGAGTTGAAGCTTGCTGGATTTATGGACCTCACAAGGTTGCAAAGGCTACAGAAAAGGCACCAATCAGCCCCCACAAAAAAGCAGAAGAGGGTGTCATTCCAGGGAGGTTGACATGGAGTTAGAATATGCGAAGTGGCTGCTCAACGACATGCTCAACAACCCTGAACATCCAGTTGACCCAGTTCAAGCTGGAAACCAATTGTGCAGTCGGGTTGCATCCATTCGTCAATGCGGGTCAATGTCCAGGGCTCGCCGGGAACGTCCCCTTTTCGGGTCGAACGCACGCCTCAGGAAGCAACGCGATCAGCTCAAGAAGGCGCTCTCGTCCCTGCGGGCGCCCCTCGTTGAGCTGGTGGAGAAGGCCAAGGAAGGGCACCACGAAAGCCAGGCGGAGCGACTGGGTGTTTGTCAGATTGAAAGATGTTGAATTTTCAATATGGAGCAATATGCATTGCAACAGTCAATGCACCATTATGCAATACTGACCATTTTATAGAATCATATACTATATATATATCTATATACATGTAAAGCCATAAATTGGTGTGTCATGCAGTTGAAGGGTTCATTGGGCGCAGTTTATATGCTACGCTACACTCTGTCGATTCGGTACCCTCCGACCGTGATGCTCCCGTGCTCGACCGGCCGAGGCCTTGCTGACGACCTTGCCACGCGATCTCTCGCGGCAGTTCGCTCGCCTGCGCAGCTCAGTCCTGGCGGCCCATGCAGAGGCCAACTCCTTAGTGGTGCGGCCCATGCAAGAGACCGAGGAGATGGATGGAGGGGAGGTTGGGAGTCGGGTTCTCCAGAGGTGTTCGGGAATTGTACCTCCAAAGCTTCTGGAAAGGGTCATAGATTCTAATGGTACTGGGTGAAAAACTCGCCT